TCCTAACCTAACCTAACCTAACCTACTGATTTTTGCCTACCAGGCATTAAGGAACCTAACCTAACCTAACCTAACCTAACCTACTGATTTTTGCCTACCGGGAATCCTAACCTAACCTAACCTAACCTAACCTAACCTACTGATTTTTGCCTACCAGGCATTAAGGAACCTAACCTAACCTAACCTAACCTAACCTACTGATTTTTGCCTACCGGGAATCCTAACCTAACCTAACCTAACCTAACCTAACCTACTGATTTTTGCCTACCGGATAAGGAAATAGTTACTTGCAGGAATAGATTGCAGGCAATAGTAAATCAAATATTTTCAGGTTAAGTGGTCATGCATCGGGCTTCAGGCCTTCGGCCTGAAGCCAGATACATAACCATTTAACCTAAAAATATTTGATTTACTATTGCCTGTAATCTCTCCTAAGGCATTGCCTTCGGCACTGCACTGCTTCGCCACGAGTTGGCCACCGACGAAAATATGCACAGTACAGGCGAAGAAATGTTGGACGAAGAATGAAAATATGTACAGACAAAAAAATGCACGGACCAAAAAACGAAAATAAAGAAAATGCACGAACGAAAATATTTACGAACGAAACATTTCTGAAGACTTTTTCAGAAAAGTCGCTATCATTCGTCGACAGATCTGGCGCATCTCGTGAGGCGCTTTACCGAAAAAGAAAATTACCGAATTCTCTTCTATTAAAAATTAAAAATACAGAACCGTTATGTAATTCCGAAATTATTTGTGTATATCTATCACTTTTTCATAAAAATAGTACCCCCCCCCCCCCACCCAAAACCCCGGTTTCCCACAGTTCCCCTAGTGTGTTGGGTTTTATGAAGATACTACATTTCTGCGTAATGGTATTTAACAACAATTGACATGTTGACAACAGACCGTCGTGCGGCTCCACCGAGATCGTGGTAAGAATACGATTAGTTAGCTTTTGGTCTTAAAATTATCGATCAGATAACTGGAAACCACATTATTCTTACTAAACATGAGTTTCTCTATAGAATGATGTCTATATTATAGGGATTAACTAATTTTTGAAGCGGGGACCTCCATGTGTACCGCCGGTCTCCGGCTTTATGAAACCGAATTGGCATCAAATACGCCAAATCTGGCATAATTGACGGAACGCCGTAAGTAATTCCTTTTATGAAACGAGGCCCAGCTCTTGATATCAGTGGTGTAAACTACGCACAAAAATGTTGCGTGAATTTGAATTAATGTGAAGATTCGAAGCTAATTTTTAATATATTTTATAATGTTGAGCCCGGTGAGGAAGAAAGAACAGCCAAAATGAGAAAAAGAAACTGCAAATCTTCTGTACCAGTCGCTTTTTGTGGCCACTATCGGAATTTTGTTTATTCGCCGCGCCGCGCCACTTTCGTAGTTAGGCACTTCTGCTTAGCAGGCTTTCTGCTGTTTTCAATATATTGATTTAATAAAGGATGGTCATCAATATCAATTTTGTTTTTTCATAAATAATTTTTAAGATTTAAATTCAACATAATTGTTTTATAATTTCTCGTAAAAAAATAAGTGTTGGCATGAAATTGTAATTTGTAGGACGCTTGATAAATTACGGTAACTACGCAAATGTGCTTAGCTACGGAGGTGTAAACAATTCCAGTTGTGGCTTTGTGAAACGGATTTATTTGCGCTCCGTAATTTGAAAGGGTGTGAATTACGGAAAGGTGTAAGTTACGGCAGAGTTTTATGAAACGAGGCCCTGCTCACATTTGGTCATTGCCTTTTTGATGAGACGAGAATATATTTGGCTGAATGTATTATGTATTTAACCCTCGCCCCGCTGGGAGTACCTACCTTCCCAGGCATCAATTTGACACCTTGACACCAAATTTCAAGTCTTAGGTCACCGTCAAAAGTGGAAATAGCCGCCCGGCTTTAGTTCGCCAGCCTTGTCAATAGATGGCAGTACCACAATATGGGCAGCAGATCGTGCAATTGACGTCAAATTTTCGTTACCTGCTAAGAATTGAATGGCGGATCTTTTCATGCAAGAATCAAGTAAATCGGTCCACAACTTTTCTAGCAACAGAGATGTGAAGTCAAACACCCTGCCAGAGCGGCGGCGCTGCGGCCGGCGCGGCGGCGCCGCTCCGCCGCCGGCCGCCGAATGGCGGCGCTGAACGGTTCCGAATTGGCACTGCACTAAAACCTGTTAACTGCTGGGAATAGTTATTACAGCAAAATTTTCATTCAAGTGAGGAATAACCAAGGGCAGGAAGTATGTATGCTTGTGTGCGTACTGTGTAAGCCAAGAAACTGCATTAGCAGATACTCGCTAATATTAGATCCAGCCAAGTCCAAACGCATCCTAGGGGATGTGTTTCTAATGGGTCAACAATATTTATCGTTCGAGGGCGGATACAGTTTTAACAATACAAAAAATATTTTTGCACAGCTCTATTCCTTGAACAATTCTCTTCAACGCCTCATTCCTAGTTAAGCGAATTAGCCCACCCTGGGGCCGTATTCACGTCGATCATTTTCGTAAGAATTTTCTTAAGTTTGACCTACTTCTTAAGTTAATTTTTTTTAATCACGTGAACTCCGTCGATAAAAACTTAAGAAGTGTCGACGTGATTACCAAATTATACTTACGAAAGAAAATCGACTTACGAAGTCGACGTGAATACGGCCCCTGGTTGAATAAATAAGGCGATTTCGCCACAAGGTCGCGGAAAACCGACCGAAAACGGCCGCGCTCAACGTTAATTTGGGCATGCAGACTCTTAAAAACTCGCATTGGGCGGATAGGGTTTCCCAGGTATTGGCTCCAAAACACCGCATTCGGCTCCCGAATACGTCCAAGTGACCCGCCTCGTTCCTAGTTAAGCTCTAATTAGATCAAGTGACTCATAAGGAGCGAAAAAAGCGACAAAAAGCATGAATTTCCCTATGGCGGCGGGCTGCCGGGTTGCCAGACGGCGCACCGGCTATTTCCCCTTTTGACACCCCATGTAGGTCAGGAGTTATTGAGGTCAAACTGAGGTCATGTTCGAGCAAAAATGAGCAAAAAACATGCAATCTTCAAACGTTAACCAAATCTACAGTTATCAAGCAATTTCAACTTTCTTTATATGATCATGTAGACAAAAAGCGGCGCTATAAAACTGCTATCTCGGATTCTCATGTTGACTTTTTCAACATTTTGGGAAGTGCCTACGGCTATCTCGGGAACCGATAGAGCTACAGCGCCGCAGAAAAGCGCATTCGATAGCCCTTTTACAGACCTTTCTGAGTAATGCTCTCAGATTTGACCTCAGGTCAACGGTTTAGCCTCCAGAGGGCAAAAACTCCAAAAATAGCCGTTTTTACGAAAACATGTTTTTTTCGGTAATAACTTTTGACTCCAAAGAGCCATGACATCACTTTTGCCAGCATCGTGTTTCTCTCGTCGAGACGCGTCGATTGAACTTTAATTTGACCTTGAAAGGTCAACTTGAATATTTGACCTCAGGTCAAGGTCATGACCTGACCGGAAAAAAGTCGTGTTGCGTATCAGTCGATCCGCAACGTCGAGCCGAACACATCTAAGGCGTTTTCAGCTCTCTAGCACGCTTCTATCAGAAGTTATTAGCGAAAAACTGTTAGATTCTCTTCGTGACCTGAGATGACCTCGAGGACATAACGAGGGGTCACTGTTGCCATTTTCCGGTTCAGTGTGTCAATTTTACCTACATCTCGATATTCATGAGAGTGTCTAGAATAGCGTTCGTGCAAAACAGACGCTTTTCAATTTTCTTCCATTGACTTATAATGGAGAGGCCGCAAAATTGACCTGACCATAGGTCACCGATATCAAAATTCCGAGATAAACATTTTATAGATAATGTTGCTCTAATCAATTGCTGTAAGTTTCAAGGCAATCGATCAATCGGTGTAGCTATGACGAGCATTCTTATTTTTTTCTGAGGTGAGGTCACTTGGCGTGACCTGGTGACCTGACCTAAGGCGACCTGGGTCTGAAATATTCACATGTGCGGAAAAGATGCACGAACAGGTGTGCCAAAAACAGCGGCGCTCCGCGCCGCCGTTGTTGAAATATCTGCGATTCACCGCAGGGGGGGGTGTGGTGTGTTCAAACCCCCCCCCCCCGGCCCGGCGCGGGTTAATAAGTTGTATGGATGGAAGGACAAATGGTGATTATCGTAAAAAAAAATATGACAACCTAGCGGCATGAAACTGCCTGCGAGAGGAGGTGGTGACAAAGGAAATCCAGCGCTACCTTTTTTCCAAATAAAATATTTGCGTATGCACCTGGGGGAGAGTTCAGAAGATAACTGCCTGTCCGATATTACCTACTGGCCAATATTACCCAACTTTCCCCTACTTTCGTCATGATTTTTGACGATCTTTCCTGGAAGACCATTGCTCACTCCCGAGTCGGGCACCGATCCGCGCCACCTCTGCAGCCCTCGACACGGGGGCATATAGACGGCACCCCGCCGCGTTACGCGCGCTCGGTACTCGACTTCCAGCCCCCTCGGAGCACAGTGAAAGTACTCATCCGCGGGCCTCCCGGCGTGACGTCACGGCTACGTCACGCGCCGCGCCGCGGGCGGCGCCAGGACGGCGGCCGGTCGGACCGAGGCAGAGCTGTGACAACAGGCCGTCGTCCAAATATCGGTATGTCTTGACGTCCATGATTCAGTGTCCCAGGTCCCACCGTTGAGATGTTGTGAAACATGTGCCTACTTTAGAAGTAAAATATATCCAAGGCTCGATGGTTAGCGATATGACAAAATACAACTTATGCTTACTGAATAACAAGTGCACTTTCCAGGAACTCAGTCCAACAGCCGACTGAACGGGACAAAGGATCTTTATACGCTACGCATTATACAATGGGAATGAAAAGGATCTAAGGTCACCAACACTCGACGGCTCTGAGGTCACCAAACGCTGCGGTTTACCAAACGCCGAATGCCAGCTGCATCACCAAACACTTCGCAGCTGTGCGGATGGGTGTATTGGTTAATGGAGACTGAAAAGATAATTCAATGATCATGCTTATGGTGATAATGTGAGAGGCGGGTAAGAAATGGGGTGTCAAGCACTCACGGTTAAAAACGAGCAATAATGCATGACGATGAGCAGCTCACTGGTAGCCGTGACACACAAATGAAACATTTTGAACAAGGTATGTGCTAAAATTAGGAGCCTTTTACTTATCTGTAAGAACATGTCGATGAAATGATAGCGACAAATATATGACAAGGCCGAATATATGACACAAGTAAAATACTGTCAAGTCCAAAATCACATCTCGCACGCTTATTGCCGAAGCATAAGAGGAGCTAAAGTCTGCTTATCAAATCTTGAAAGCCCGTGTCTTCGAACTGTCATCGGTTGATCCGAATCACGACTAAAGTGATCGGCTTCACGCCGACAAGTTTCTATCCTGAGAAACTTCCTGAGCACAGCTTGCTGAGCTGTGGCGTCACTGTCTCGAAGGTGGCGGCAGCTAGCGCTGAGCGGCGGTAGGAGGCCGGACGGCACTCAGTGGCCAAGGCTCAGCTCGCCAGGAGGGCACTCAGTGGCCGCCCAGCGCCGGGAGGGTGTTCAGTGACCGCCCGGCGCTGCCGCTCAGTGACCGCCCAGGGCCAGCGCGCGGCGGCACCGGTCGGCGGCGCGCCGGCCGGCCGCGGCCGCCGAGCTGCCGGCTCTCTTGGCGGTGCCGGCGCCGGGCGGCGGGGTGGCCCCGGCTCCGTCGGCGGCGACGTCAGCTTCGTCGGGGGTGCTGCAGAAGGCGGGTAGAGCCATCTAAGGGGACAGCCAGAGCGGGCCGCGTGAGCGCCCCGGACCGGGCACACGGCAGAGCGACAGAACGGAGAGAGCAGCAGACAGAGCGACAGACACAGCTATCAGACAGCAGAGAGCGACAGACAGCGTCACCAGAGGTATATGTGGAACATGGATAGCGCTAGACAACAGACGGAGCCAGGGAACCGGCACCAGAGAGCATAGAGCGATAGCAAATAGACAGAGCCGGATAGCGCTTACCAGAGGTCCAGAGTGCTTTAGACAATAGTCAATGCCAGACAACATTGCAACAGTGAAAGACAGTGTCATCAGAGCCAAAAAACACCGCCGCAGACAGCGCCGTAAGACATCACCGCAACAGCTGCGCCATAAGACACCGCCGCACACAGCTGCGCCATAAGACACCGCCGCAGACACCTGCGCCGCAATACACCGGCGGTAGGCAGTGTCTGTCGGCAATAAGGCGCCTTCTCCTCCCGCCGTTATGTCGTACTTCCTTTCAGGGCGGCTCCATCGCTCACAGGTGTCTCATAAACAGCGCCGGCTGCTGACCCGTGTCCGACAGCGAACAGCGCCCCTCATTACAGCGTGCCGGCCGCTGACGGACGACCCGGGCCGAATAGCTAATGCGCCACCAGTTCCAAGTGACATCTAAATAAGCGGCTTTAGAGCGCGCCGTGAAAGGATAGATGAAAAATAGGTCGAACTACGTAAAACTATGGATATTGTTTGCAATGTTAATTCATGTTCACATGATTATTTACAATTATTCGGTCAGCTAGCAACGACGGTCAATTTTAACACGCACCGGTAGACAATCTAGCCTGTACATTCACAAAAAGACTGGTCGGTTGTAGATACCGTTATGCTGCCGTAACAAAAATGCCAAAACGTGTCAGATCAGTACCGTCAGAAGCGGCGTGAGTAAGCGTTATCCCGGGGACTGCTGAACTGAATGAAACGGCTGCGGAATACCTCAGGAGAAGGGAGAGATAGAACGAAACGACTGTCTTGCCTTCCAGGTAAAATTGATAGGTATCGTAAGATACCTATGGTGACCAGCTTACCACAAATGTATTTTATCACGGGATTGCGGACATGCATAGGTGGGGAGAAATGGCTGCCCTACCTCTGTGTGATAGAACCCAATAGGTGGGGAGATATTAGCCGTTTTCACGGCGGCCATCTGGTACACATTTGGTGCACATCTGGTACAGATAAGATGCAGAATTGGTCAAATCAGGTTCAGTGTGTCTCTTAGCAGCTATCAGCTAGGGTTGCACTAATTGCTGATTGCCTGCTTTGTCATATGATCAGAGAGCATCATCGATTAAAACACTGAAATAAATTCATCAAATGAAGATATTAACTGTGAAAGAAATTAGGTGCAGATCTGGTCAAATCAGGTGCATTCGCCGGATAGCCCGTTGTGAAAACGGCTATTATCTGCCGTACTTTTGTGGGGAAGAACGGATAGAGGAGGCCCCCTGCCGTAGGTACCTCCGGTGAGAAGGGAGAGAGGTGCGACTCGGGCGGCGCCGGGTCGGAGGTCACGCTGCTGTCCAGGTCCCAGCAGGATCTGAGGACGCACAGGACAGGGTGGGTGGTAATGGCTTCAGCCGCCGATAGCGTGGCTGGCTGAGATCGACCGCCCGGTGTCAGCCAGCACCGGACCAATATAGCCGGCGGCAGGGGCAGCATTTCCACAGGGATCTCGGAATCCTCGTAAGTACAGCATCAACTCAGATAGAAGTATCAGTTTTCAGGTGCGTCTATGCGCATCTACCCTAACTATGCTCTACAGTGTTGCACATAAAGCCCCTATCCCATAAAATATCTAGGGCGCCGGTTATAAACGTTACCAATTAATTAAATGAGTGGTTATTGTTACAAAGTAACACTTGCTTGTATGCATAATAAGCCACGTCTGCAGTGTGATTTAAATGCGAGCATGTGAGCAAGAGGACGCCCACATAGGTATATGCATTATGCATGCGATGAGCATCGTTGCAAAACGCTTCTACATCGTGTTCGGGGAGATAGTACGGTCATGTCTGTGGCAGCGTCAGTCCGTGTTCCACGCCAGCCCTGCTGCAGGGCCAGGCCGAGCCCCCCTCCCCCAGTCCCGCCGCAGGGCCAGGCCGAGCCCCTCCCCAGCATCGCCGGCTCGTGTCACGCAGTGACAGGGCCAGCCCGTGTCCCCAACTCTGAATTCTGGGTCAACTAGTCCGGCCCAGCCCGGTGTCCCGTGTACCCACATATGGATCCTAGTGAACTGGTCGAGTGTACCGGGAACCCACCTCTGAATCCTGGTGAACTGGTCCAGCTCGGCCGGCGCCGACAGGGAGAGGGCGGCCCGCTCCAGCTCCTGCCAGGCGGACGGTCGCGACTCCGACGCAGTAGCGCAGTCCACCCATCCGCTCGACAGCTGCCAAAGGCACACAAGAGACGTGGGCGGTACATGCGTAATATGGACGGCAAAGACGTGATGTGGACAATAGTTATGTGATATGGACGGCACAGACGTGGAATGGAAGGCACAAATGTGAAGTGTGAACTGTGAACTAACCGTCTTAACGACAAACATTTAAAGCCGTCAAATGACTTATACGAATGGTGCATGCCCACAAAGAGCATGCTCAAGTCCCCTCCCCCCCTCGTACTTTGATCTTCAAACTCCGTGTGTGGGGTTACACCGGCGACAGAATCGTGAATCCCCTGTGCCCCCCCCCCCCACCCCCACCCCAAGTGAGGGTTCTCGTATTTCGTACCTCCAGACTGGGCAGCTCCAGACTGAGGTTCTCTTCGACGTCCGGAAGGGACGCGGCGTCCCCGGCGGACGTCCCGGCGCCGGAGTCTCCTCCGGCCGTCTCCGAGTCTCCTCCGGCCGTCTCCGAGTCTCCTGCTGTCTCCGAGTCTCCTCCTGCCGTGGGCCCTTTGTTTCCGCCATCCTCCACTCCGACCAGTATCGGCATATCGGGCCCGGGCCCAGAGTCCCCGCTGGGCCCAGAGTCCCCGCCGGGCCCGGACGGCGCCGCGGCAGAAGTAGCCGCCTCCTGCGGCGGTGCGGCCGTCGACTCGGCCTCCTGCAGCGGAGCGGCCGCCGCCATGTCGGCCTCCTGCAGCGGTTCGGACGTCGTCGACTCGGCCGCTGCGCCCGGCGCCGCCGCGGTCGCCGGGCTGTCGGTGGCGTCGTAGGCGTCGTGCAGCAGGCTGGCCAGCTCCGCTAGCTGGGCCTCCGTGGGTGTGCCGCCGGCCGTCGTCGTCTGGGGCGAGTCCGGGCTGCCGTCGGCGGCCGGCGGGCGCGCGCAGCCGCAGACGGCCCGGCCGTACACCTCCGCGACAGGCGCGTCCAGCGGGTACAGGCCGCGGAACAGCGTCTTGTACTGCTGCACGGTGAGCCGCGGCGGTGGAGGCATGCCGTCAAACAGCGACTGGATCACTGCCGACAGGACAGGGCAGGTCAGCGCGGTCACAGGGCGCCAGCAGCGGTCACACTCACAGCGGTGGCAGCAACGGCACGGGGCGCGGTCAGCGGCCACGAGGCGCGGTCAGGGGGCGCATGACTGAGTTAGTCAGTCATATAATATAGGCAATAGCCCACAGCTGCGATTCAAGATCAGCATTCAGACATATGTATATGACAGGTACGAGTACCCTCCGAGGCATTGTTCGGCGAACAGGCGACGTCGTACCGTTGTTTTTCATGTCGAGCAGCATGCCAAGCGCCCGCTCCAGCTCCAGCACGTGCTGCCGGGTGGCCTCCAGGGTGAGCGGCTTGGACCAGCGCGTCAGGCTCGGCTGGCGCGACTGCAGCACCGGCCGCAGCAGCGTGTAGCACGCCTGACCGACACGGCACACCGTGTCAGAGGGTGGGGAACGCGGCAGGCCCCCGTGTCAGGATGGGGTGGGGGAGGCACAGAGCGGCGGGCCCGTGTCACCCAGAGAGGAGGCCGGGCACCGCACCCCGTGTCAGAGCAGTGTGGACACCGGGGCTCGCTGTCAGCCAGCGTGTACAGCAGAGGGCAGGAGGTTCGCCGGCCGTGGAGATACAGCGGCGGCCGCAGGTGAGGTCTGGGAACTACAGCGGGGGGCAGGTGCGTCCGCCTGGGCAGAACAGCGGCCATTGAATACCGCGGTACCGGTCTCCGGCCAATGGTCTGCCTCTTAATATCGCCTCCCTTTATATCAGAGTTTTCATCAATGGTACTCAAGGGACCGGTAGAAAATCGCGAAACTCGGCAGAAAAGCTATTAATCACCAATGAATCACCTGTATGCTGGCGCCTATTCCCACCTGTATGCTGGCGCGCCACCTGGCGTCCGACTGGCGCAGTTTGGCGGAGAGGGCGCGCTCCCCGGCCGGGTGGAGAGACCCTCGTCCCCCGGCGGGGTGGAGGGAGCCTCGTCCCCCGGCGGGGTGGAGGGAGCCTCGTCCTCCGGCGGGGTGGAGGGAGGCGCCGCCGCCGGCCCGGGGGACGGACGCCGCCGACCGCCGACCTCTCGACGAGCCGGACACGCTGTAACAGAACACCGACACCAGCTCACCAACCGAGGCCTGCACGGCTCAGCAACACCATTGGTGACCCCGCTTCCGGTCAGCGGAAAAAACGAACATATCGTTTGAATACAGGTATTTTGCAGAACGAATGTATAATGTTCGATTAATCAACTGCAATAACAATCAAAGGAGCCCGGAGCCGTATGGAATATGGATGCAGATTGCAGACTAGAGCCGACTTCATTTTCCTATTTCTTGCCAATGTCCAGTGACTGATTCGATTATGACTTATGAGTCACATATACCATAAGAGGAGATTAACCAAGTTTGAATGGTCGTATCAGTAGTTCCATAAATCAAAATAATGTACCCACCTTGCCATTTCAAAATGTTCTTTTCGAGTACCAATTACCAAAATTTAAGTGAGCAGCCTGTGGGGAAAGGGGGCGAAAGACGTTCTTCCGGTCAATGATGCTATGTTCAATGCTTATCTGCATACGAAAATTAAAACCTGACACACTGAACGGACACATGCCGTGTTGGTTTGCCGCTGGAGTCGTGGAGCAGGTGCAAGCTGCAGAATGCAGAGTGCGGACGATACTTTTTGGTTTTGTTGTGTTTAATTAATTTCTTATGAGGTAAAAATAATAATACGTATACACATATTCCATATATTACGGATAGTTCAGGTAAGTCAAAGCGGTCCAAGTCAAGGTAAGCTGACGCAGTAAAAACGGATAGCAATAAGTGAAGAAAAACGGCACGAACTAGTCTCAGTGTCTACGTCTAGGTCTACTTGGTGTCTAACAACAGCTCCTTTGAAAATAAAATGTATGTAACACGGCGGCAACTACCGTTCAGGTTATGACTGGTTAGTGGTTACACTGATTATGACTAATGAGCAAGCTAATGAGCTTATAGGTTTCGACTTTCGATACGCAACGCCCTGTGACTAGATTCATTGCGACTCAAATTTAGCGCGATAAATAGCAGACAGCACGTTTTCAACGAATAAAAACTGAGTAACAAAGATAGTATTTTGTCTGATAATTTCATTTTAATAATATAAAAATTATTTGAGTAAATCAATTTCCACGTTTTGCATCTAACTAAAAGATATAAAAAATAATTTATTATAAAACTATCGTAACCGCTAGGCTCAGGACGTTCAGGCGACTCAGTAAATTGAGTAAACCGGTAAACATGCTCGCTCATGCGACATGACAGACTTTTTTGGCAGACCATAAATCGCTATAGCTAGGGAAAATTATTATACAGTCGTCTTCATGAAGACTTATTTAGGAAGTCTCAATGGCAAAAACATAGATATACGGGAGAAAAGGGAAGCCAGTGACAGGAAACTGCAAAGGAATTAATTTCAGAGTGAAAAGTGAGTAATAAAACTTTCATAAATTTTAAACTTACTTAAATCACATAGTATTTCCCTAACGACTTTCAATGAAACCTCAGAAGCGCTTTATAATTTTCGCGCTACATGACTGCTGCTAAAAAAAAACAAGCACGGCATTTCTGGTTTCTCTGAGACGAATATTTTGGCGCGCTAACAAGTTAACGGATGAGTGATTGCGGATATAAATTCGAAATTAAAGAATTTCGAATTTTGTGCGATTCAAGTGCGGTACCTGCTCAGATTATATAATGCATTTATAGGCCAATTAACCCGCGCCCGGGTGGGTGTCTCAGTCATGACTTTGACTTCGCCATGGTGAGGGGGGGGGGGGGCACGCCAAAGTTGAAGTAAGCAAGCAAGACAAAGGATAACGCGGTAAAAAGCAATAAATCGCTCGCTATAAGATGTTTCAGAATTATATGGGTCATTTTTGGATCAGGTCATCGCTTAGGTCACTGGAGGTCAGGAAAAGAAGTTTTTGCAAAGACCTACTTGATCCCGATTCTGACAACTTTTTACAAAGCGGCAAATAAGTTGGGAACCACTAGAGAACAACGCCATGGAAAAGTGCATTCAATAGCTCTTTCAAAGGCCTTTCTAAGTATTGTTCTCGGATTTGGTTTAAGGGCACTGTTCCAGATTTAGCCTCCAGGGCCCTGGCCCCTGTTTCACCGGTGATAGCAGCACGCTGCTATCAAATTGCGCGAGCTGACGTAATGTGATGATGTCGTACTGCTGACGTAAGGGGCAATTCTGGCGCACGATTGCCGCAATATTGTTTTTTTCGGTGAAATTTGGTAGATATTAGTTTTGGCTCTTTCTGAACCGAGCGACATCACTTTCATGCCAATGCTAAGAGCAATAGCATGTACAAAATTTATATCTCATAATTTTGATATCGATGACCTAAGGTCAGGTCAATTTTGCGACCTCTTCATTATAAGTCAATGGGAGAAAATTGAAACAGTGACCCAAAATTTGTAGATGTGGGTGGGAAACAATGTCCAAATGAAAATCATTTTCCACTCTCATCTCCAGTTTTCAAGCCCAATTTTCCACTTCCAATTCCACCGAGAAGGAGCAATTGCGTGAATGGTTGTTTTGCATCTGTCACAATTGTAGATAGATTAATGTTTTTGATCATTTTCCCACTCTTTTTGGGCCTTACCTGACCGACAATTTCTCACTCTCATCCTTTTTTTGGTCAGCAGTTTTCCCCTCTGACAACCAAGCAAAAATATGATTTTGGGACACTGAATTGAAATGCGCCTCTTATGGACGAAAGATATTATAAACACTCCCAAACACTGAATTACAAGTGGTTTAGACACACTGAACATGAAAATGGTGTCCGTGACCCCTGTTTATGCCCTGAGGTCATCTTAGGTCACGAATGGTATCTAACAGTTTTTCGCAAATAACTTTTGATAGAGGCATGCTAGAGCGATGAAAACGCCTTAGATGTGTTCAGCTCGACGATACGGATCGACTGATATGCAACATGACCCTTTCCGGTCAGGTCATGACCTTGACCTGAGGTCAAATTTTCAAGTTGACCTTTCAAGGTCAAGTTGTAGTTCATTCGATGCGTCTTGACGAGAGGAACACGATGCCGGTAAAAGTAAGCTCGTTTAAGGCTTGGGTCAAAAGTTATTGCAGAAAAACTGTTTCCGAAAAAAATCGGCTGTTTTTGCAGTTTTTGCCCCCTGGAGGCAAAACCGTTGACGTTAGGTCAAATCTGAGAAAATTACTCAGAAAGGGCGTTAATAGGGCTATCGAATGCGCTTTTCCGCGGCGCTGTAGCTCTATTGGTTCCCGAGTTATGCGTTGGCTTCTTGGAAATTGTCGACATTCGACCTGGAAATCGGCGAAATTTTGCCTTCAATGACCTCTGGTGACCTGACCTTTGACCTGACCAAAAAATGATCGAAGTGATTTCCTCATTATTTTTTACGCTCTTTCGAACGCCGCCTTCCGCGTATCGCTACGTGGCCCAGGAGCCGAGTTAAAAGGGGAGGGTGTTCAAACCCCTCCCCCCAGCAGGGCGTGGAAATCCAGGACCCCCAGCCGGGCGCGGGTTAATGTCGGGTGAATTTTGTGACCTCCTGTCAAAGCCAATGGGAGAAAATTAAAATGTTTTTCTTTTGGCCGAATACACCCTCAAACACCAAGTTTGCGCGCCGCGGTTTTCTGTAGTCTGTAGTCTGCACCTACACACGCAAAAACTGGCGTGGCCAAAAACGCCCCCCCCCCCCACCCGGGTGAAGGGCAAGCATAGGTACCTATATTTTGTGTTAAATAGGGAAGGAATATGTAAAGGATTATGTAACTGTCAATATGAGTGAGTGAGTCAGGGCGAATTTTGTGAATCTGTGGCACTGGCATGAGCTAACATCTCTCCTTTCTTTGTTTCAGACAATGCATTGAGCATATGAAGAAGTTAGCTGCAGTTCTACCTTTGCCACTGAAAATATGAACATTTAAGGGAACGTTGCACGAAATACCTCAACACAGAAACATTCTTCATTCTATACACTGTTTTAGTGCCTGAATCAAATATCAAGGTTCTTTGTGATGCAAGCCAACCTTTTCAAGATTTGAAACTCTGAACAGTGAGACCCTATACCTACATAGTACATACAGAACAATACACCACCACTGGACTGATGAACTTCTGCATGACTGTCCCCTTTTAGCTCCATTTTGGCCACCTACCTCAGACCCCCTCCACCACCAGCCGCCACCATCCACCCCACCCCGCCCCACCATGGGAATCACCGGCCTGCTGCCGTTCCTCAAGAAGTCCACCCGGCCGGCCAGCGTGCGAGAGTTCTCCGGCGGCACGGCGGCCGTGGACGCCTACTCGTGGTTGCACAAGGGCGCGTTTGCCTGCGCCGACCGGCTGGTGCGCGGCGAGCCCACCGACGTGTACGTCCACTACTGCCTCAAGTACGTCAACATGCTGCTGGCGCACGGCCTGAAGCCGGTGCTAGTGTTCGACGGCCGGAACCTGCCCAGCAAGGCCGACACGGAGGCCAAGCGGCGCGAGGGCCGTAAAAAGTACCGCGCCCTGGCCGCCGACCACCTGCGCGCCGGCAGGGACCGCGAGGCGCGCGAGTGCTTCCAGCGCTGTGTGGACGTGACGCCGGCGATGGCGCGCGAGCTCATCAAGGCGTGCCGCGCGCGCGGCGTCGACTGTGTGGTGAGTGACGGCAGCGTCGGAGGCGTGCTCGGTCTCGGATGTGTACAGCGTGGGAAATGGTCATGTTCACATCCTGCTCCTGTAGGTTGCATTTAAGTGGTGAAATATTGAAGTCAGTCTGATAGTTATGGTGGTGCAGTGCTGGTAGATGATAGTTAGTTACCTGCGTATTGCGTAACTCACTAAGTAGGATATAATTGATATGTAGCAGTTAAACCTTTGCCGATCATATTTATCATCGATGACAAAATCGCCATCTTTGTAATTTACAATGATTGTAATTATTGTAATCGGCTCTATGTTAAATACAGAGCAGTTATCCGTTTTCCGGCGGCGTTACTGACGGTGCTTCCCTCGCCGTCCGTCAGGTGGCGCCCTACGAGGCTGACGCCCAGCTGGCGTTCCTGGCGCGGAACGGACTGGCCGACCTGATCATCACCGAGGACTCAGACCTGGTGCTGTTCGGCTGTCCGCTGATCCTGTTCAAAATGGACGCCGCCGGCAACGGACAGCTGGTCGAGGCGACCGCGCTGCCGCTCTCGCTCGGCGCCTCGGCCGACAAGTTCTCGCTGGAGCGGCTGCGACTGGCGTGTATTATCTCCGGGTGTGACTACCAGGCCTCGCTGCCCGGCGTCGGCCTGGGCAAGGCGTCCAAACTGCTGGTTCGCGCCGCCGGCGCCGTCGACTCGGCCGCCGTGCTGGCCAAGCTGGCGTCGTACCTGGGCGTGCGCTCGCTGCCGGTGACGCCAGAGTACCGGGCCGGCGTGCTGCGCGCCGAGGAGACCTTCCTCTACCAGCTGGTGTTCGACCCGCGCGCCCGGCGCCTCGTGCCGCTGACACCCTACCCGCCGGGACGCTCGGCGGCCGACTATCCGTTCGCCGGCGCGCCCATGGACGACGCAGCCGCCTTCCAGGCGGCGCTGGGCAACACGGACATCAACACGGGCGCCACGGTGGACACCTGGAACCCGGACCGGCCCGGCGCCATGCCCGCGCACGCGCCGCACAAGAGCATCTGGGCGCGCGACTTTGTGCCGTCGCGGCGCTCGTGGCCGGCCGGCAGTGGGGGCGGGGGCGGCGGCGGGGTGACTCGGCCGGGCACCGCCGGCAAGGTGGCGCGCCTCTCGGTGCTGGAGACGCTGCAGAAGGCTGCCGCCGCCGTGGTCGAGCAGAAACCCGACGAGGAGGAGCGCCGGCGCGCCGAGACCAGTCTGATGGCGCTGTACGCGCCGCCCGCCGCCGCCGAGACCGAGTCGCAGCAGTCCAGCGGGTACGCCAGCGGGGCGACGGACGCCGAGCCGGCGCTGACCCAGCCGGCCTCCGAGGAGGGCCCGGCCGGCGAGCGGAACCCCGAGCCGACTGTGGTGTCGGCGACTGGTGACGGTGCGCCCGCCGCGGACACCGATCAGTCGCCGGAGATCGGTCAGCGGCTGCGGAACCCATTCCGTGTGCGCGGCCCGCTGCGGGAGCGGCTGGAGGCGTCCGCCAAACGCCAACTCTCGGCAGGCGACGCGCCCGCCAAACCCGTCACCAGCAAGTACTTCACCGCGCCGTCTCCCGCCGCGCAGCCCCCGCAGCGTGCCCCAGTCGTTCAAAGTATGGAGGAGTTTCTCAAACGCCGCCAGGAGTCGGCCGCCGCTCTGGAGCGGTCGCCCAAACGGGCCCGGCTCGAGCCGTCCGCCGCGGGTAAGTCTGCGGCGTCCTCTCCCCCTCCGGCCCTGCCGGCGATTCCCGCGCCGCCGCCGCCGGCGAGGTCGTCCGCGGACAGCTGGTACAAGATGAGCTCTGTGTTCGACCCGAAGCACGCTATGACCGTGTGGGACAGTGAGGTGGACGGGCTGCGAGCGGCGCCGGCCGTCACCGCCACGCCGCGCTCCCCGGGCAAGGAGAACAGTCCCGAGAAGGCGGCGCCGGCCGCGGCCAAACGCTATCTGGGCCGCTCGCCGCCGGCCGCCGCCCTGTTCGGGGTGCGACCCGGGCCGAGCGCCGGCCGGGGGGCGCCGGTCGGGACGCCGGCCGCCGCCCCCTGCCGGAAGGTGGGACTGGCCAAACCGCCCGCCGCCAGACAGCTCAACCTCAAACAGATGTTCGGCTATCGGAAACCTGAGGTGGCTCAGTGGAAAAAGTGAGAGGGGCGGTGGAAGTGACTGTTTCATAATTGGCCATCGTCGTTTTAGCGCCCGTAGGGGAGTTATGGTGTCGACTGGCCAACTCCTCGCAGTTGCTCGGTGCTCTGCTATTCGTATGTACAAAGAGGGACCATGGTGGCTGTGGCCGGGCCGGAGCAGCGCTCCCGATGAAATGCGCCGCTCCAGTTCCCCGTGTTTTTTTTTTTGTGCCGAACGTCCGACTCGATCTGACCAGGGCTTTGCATGTTTGCTGCGTGTCATGCGGGTGCAATTGCCTGTTTGTATCGTGTTTTAACGTGTACGTCCATGTGAAATAATATGACAAACTTGACACCTCGCTTGGTTGTAAGATATCATCAGGACCGGGAAGTGTGTACCATTCGTTTGTAATGTAATGGCGTTGAAGGCCAAGTGTTGTTAAAAGCGTCAGTATCTCTATCCTGGCTCGCACAAATCTTGTTGATTTGTGGACGTACCCGAACGCTGCGTGAAATAAAACGACAGCGCGTATTCTCTCATTTGTGTGAGTAGTATGTAAACTGCATAAATGATGCTGCAACTCGATTTATTCCATTGATTCACTGTTAAAACGACTTATAAAATCATAGCAAATAGTGGCAGAAATCGTCGAGTTACACAATGCACATCTCTATGACTAGTCGGACCTTTAAAAACCAGACACGACTGTTACAGAACCTAGTCCTACGGTTCCAGCCTCCTTCACTTCGATACTTTCGGCTTTACCTTGACCTTTCTTCCCTTCTTCGCTTTCATCTTTTTCTTCTTCACGGTGCCCCCGACACCGCTCTGTTTAGGGAGGTCCTCGCTCAGTTTCAGTCCCCGCAGCGCGGCCGCCTCCCGGCTGGTGGCGTCACACTCGGTGACGTCACTGTCGGCGGGCGCGCTGACGTCGGGCGGCTCAGTGACGTCGGGAGCTCTGAGCGCGCGGCCGGCCGGCTGGCTGAGCCGCAGGGACGAGTTGGGCAGCTGACCGCGGCCGGGCGGCGGCGGGCGCTGGGACGGCGACACGCACAGCCGCAGGGAGAGGCGCTGCGGGCCGGGGGCCAGGCGGGAACCGCCCGACGGACACCTGCCGGGGCACAGCCGGGTCAGAAGGACAGTGGGTATCAGGGCCAGGTCAGAGGGAGAGCGGGTTTCAAAGACTAGTCAGAGCAGAGAGCTGGCAACACAGCAGGGCCAGGTCAGAGGGAGAGCTGGCAACACAGGTCAGAGGGAGAGCTGGCAACACAGGTCAGAGGGAGAGCTGGCAACACAGACAGGTCAGAGGGAGAGCTGGCAACACAGGAGGGGCACAGGGAGAGCTGGCAACACAGCAGGTCAGAGGGAGAGCTGGCAACACAGACAGGTCAGGGGGAGAGCTGGCTTCACAGACAGGTCAGAGGGAGAGCTGGCAACACATATAGGTCAGGGGTAGAGCTGGCAACACAGACAGGTCACAGGGGGAGAGCTGGCTTCACAGACGGATCAGAGGGAGAGCTGGCAACACAGATAGGTCAGGGGGAGAGCTGGCAACACAGACAGGACAGAGGGAGAGCTGGCTTCACAGACGGATCAGAGGGAGAGCTGGCTTCGCAGATAGGTCAGGAGGAGAGCTGGCAACACAGACAGGTCAGAGGGAGAGCTGGCAACACAGCAGGGTCATAACTCATAGGGAGAGCTGGCAACACAGACAGGTCAGGGGGAGAGCTGGCAACACAGACAGGTCAGAGGGAGAGCTGGCTTCACAGACAGGTCAGAGGGAGAGCTGGCAATACAGACAGGTCAGGGGAGAGCTGGCAACACAGACAGGTCACAGGGGGAGAGCTGGCAACACAGACAGGTCAGAGGGAGAGCTGGCAACACAGACAGGTCAGAGGGAGAGCTGGCAACACGGACAGGTCAGAGGGAGAGGTGGCTTCACAGTTCACAGACAGGTTAGGGGGAGGGCGAGCAGCAGGGCCAGGTCCGTACGGAGGCTACGTTGGAGGGAGAGGGTATCAAGATCAGGTCGCAGTGGAGAGGGCGGCACAGCCAGGTCCATAGGGACTACGGAGACCAGGTCAAAGGCAGGGCGGGCGACACAACCAGGCCCGTAGGGAGGCCAGGTTAGGGACACGGCGGGCATCAAGATCGAGTCAGAGGAGGGTTGATCCGGGCCAGTGATCGATTGGGGAGCGAGCACAACTGAAAAAACAAGTACTGAATCACGTACAATTCGTCAACTCGCAGAAAGAAACAAACGGTTTCTCCAAAACCACAAGCGATTTCCTTCCCAAACAATCTGAGTACCCAGCACTGCTACCCTAACAGCAGACCACATGAGCACCTTGCTCCGGCCGCTGCAGCCTGTGACTGGTTACCTGTGCGCGCTGTCGGGCTGGTTACATGGCATAGCCGCTGTCTGGCTGGTTACCTGTGCGCGCTGTCGGGCTGCAGGCTGAGAGAGCGGGGCCGGCAGGGCGGCGGTGGCGGCGCCAGCAGCGGCGACCTGCCGGGCGAGGCCGGGGCGGCGGCGGCGGCGCCCTGTCCCAGCCGCACCGAGCCGGGCCGCCCGCCGGACGGAGTCGGCCGGACGGTCGGTGACACGGCGGGGGAGACGGACAGCGGGGTCAGACTGGCGGCCCGGGCCGACACGGGACTGCGGGCCGCCGGCCCGGACGGCGTCTGGACCGGCCGGCCGGCGGCCGAGCACGCCTCCCGCACCTGGAGGCACGGACAACAGTGTGAGAGGGAATTTAGGACGGTGAAACAAAGGGTCCGTCTTTACGTCAAAATGGTTACCTGATGACAGATATCAGAAGCAAAAAGCGAAAGGGCGGTATATCATAACATTATCAACCTTGACCGAAAACGTTCAGGCAAGTGCCTCATACAATTTTTGACACCAAATTCACGACGTAAAATACAGAAACATGAAAGTGGGGTCGAATTGACAATTGACATCCCTCCAACGAGATGTTTCGATGTTTTTCACGTAATGTAACGCAAAAAGCCAAAGTCAAGTCGCAGCCCTGTTCCCAAATCAGCACTCAATCAGTGGAACCTCGACCCACCTGGAGCACGAGCCGCGGCGCCGGCGGGGAGCAGCCGCCCCGGTCCCCGCCGACCAGACTCCGCTCGCTCGGCGGGCGCAGCGTGATCTTGGTCAGCGTCTGCTGCGGCTTCTCACGCTTCTTCCATGAGAGCAGCGACTGGAACTTCTTGCTGCGCCACTTCTTGCTGGCTTTCCTCGTCTTGGAGCTGGAGCCCGCCTCGTCCGAATCCTCCGCACTGAAACGGCAACAGCGGGGCGTAACATCAAGGAACAGCGAGAGGTCGCCAGCAGAGCTGCACTCCGTGCCGGTCGGGTCGTTGAGGGACAACACTAGTCTAGGCCTAAGAACAAATTGCATGTGGACATATGGACCGCACATAGACTGCATTGCACATGGACAATTTAGTGATTCGAGCTTCCTGGGCAGTGGGCACGATGGGAAAGAACCAAGAGAGCTCGGACCCATAAGTGAATGGCGTCTAATCACCCTGCGGCACAACAGCTCTGTCGGGTATTGCAGGTCGGGTTTTCGAGGATCAGCAGGGTCCGGAGCCGCGAGGGCCGTTCCTGAGGGTGGCGGGCTGTCGCCAGTCGGGCAGCTATGCCGAGTGTCGGGGTCGCGGACTAGCCGCCGGTCGGCCGGGTCCGTGGTACAACTGGTACAGCAGGATCAGAGACTGCTGAGCTCACTATCCCGTGTCGGGTTGTCGCGGACCACCCGCCGGTCGGCACCCACCTGGACGAGTCGCTGCCGTCGGCCGGGTCCGTGTACCCATACTGCTCCCGCAGCGTGTCCATCACTCGCTCACGGACACGCTCCTGGCACGTGACACACGCCGCGTCTGCGGGACCGCCGGGGGTAACGGTCACGTGACAACCCTGCCCGGGAGCTAGGTCTGACACTGCATAACAAGGAAACTAGTAAACGAGATGAGACATGGAATAGGGTTCACTTATTTTAGAGATCAGCTTTCAGCAGTGAAAGGTGATCAGCTTTCAAAACATTGTTTCGTTAGTATTTAAGTACAATTATATTGAAACACATTCATTCGACAGCATGAGCAAGTACTTACAGAAAAGTCATCGTCCAGACGAGGAAAATGTAAAAGGAGAAAGAGTTTAGCATTGCATTCCATTCAATGTCAAAACACAATAATATAATGGCAAACCGGTACTACGGCGGCAAACGAAATCATCGCACCAAATGTTATGCCATTATTTACACCGGTCCCCTAGAGACCTCGCATTCTCCTTGACGGTATGTATGTATGTATGTATGTATGTATTGACACCAAAAGCCTTCCACATATGGCGTGGCGATTACGGCTTAGTACTTGCTCATGCGGTGATGTGTCCACGCAGCTCAGCAGCACGTCTTACCCACCACTGCACTCTCCCGCATCCCGTTCACTGTCCTCTCCTTACTCTGCCCCCATTCCACCCACCCCACCCCCTACCATCCCCTTAGCTCACCGTCCTCTTTACGTCCGCTCTCCCTGCACTCACGCCTCCTCCCCTCCCCTGTCCCCTCCCCCACACCCACCTTAACCGGTGAGGTATCCACGTAGTCGAGCAGCGTCTCGCAGAAGCGCTGTCCGATAAGCTCGTAGTCGTGCGCGCGGTAGTGGGTGCCGGCGCGCGCGCGCAGACTCGAGCCCGCAGAGCTGGCCTCCAGCGTGTAGGCGTTGGTGATGCCCATTGACCACATCACCACCCGGCCGGTGCCCTCCTTCGACTTGTGCACGCTGAACTGGCAGCTGTCAAAGTCGAACTGCAACGACAAACGAGGTCAACACCTCACTCGGTCACACTTTGATTCTAGTCGATGCTTTTTGCATTCCCTTGGTGATATAAGTACGTTGAAAATACGCGGCTATTTTCAAATGTGCAGATATTTCGTGATAAAAAATAACAGAGTAAATACTAAAACCTCCCTTGTTTTCCCAACCTACTAAGCGTTAACAAGCACTGCACGCTTCTATCGTAAAACCCTGGTCATGACTCGCTCCGCTGCAGACCTCTTAATTTGTCAGGATTCATCAACCACGACAAAACAACTTCCATACTATTGTAAAGGTCCGAATCAAACACACACCAGCGTTCACCTCGCGTCACTGACCAGGTTTTTGGCGACCCGGTCGAGCAGGAATGGGAACACCTTTTCGGTGAGGTAGCGACTCGAGTTGCGCCGGTTCTCGCAGCCGTAGATGAAGGCGTTCTGGCGCCGCGAGTGGCCGTGGAAGTCACAGTACACGGTCACACCGGCCTCCTCCATCAGCCTGAGACAGTGCGGAATGCCGACAGCTTAGTGGTTAGACACTCTTATGGGGAACTTTACACAGAATGAGTCGGAATAAGACAAACAAAAAATGTAATGTTAGGCAAGCAATTATAAAACGAATCCGTATAAGAGATATCATTCATGCTATGAACAGTCGGGAACACTTTAAAAAGTCCTGAATCAGCGTTAACTCCGATAGATCTGATTAGAGGTAATGAATTTAAATATGGGGTACTCTAACGTGCAGTCAAGTACAGTGTACACTTCACACCTCACCGAACACACGAATGGACACTTCGATCAATCGACAGTCATGAGCGCCCAAGAGGAAACCCTCTCCACCTCCTACAGGCAGCTGGATGTGCCACAGAAAACAAACCTCACCTTCTGACGAGTAGCTTGACGTGCCTCACAGCACCCTCACCCACCTCCTGACGAGCAGCTTGACGTGCCAGACGGCCGGGTACAGGTCGCGGTGGGTGTGTTTGAACTGGCGGTTCATGTCGCGGCCGGCCAGTGAGCAGCGCGAGTTGCCCACGATCACGCCGTCGGGGTTCAGCATCGGCACGATCTTGAACACGAACCGCTGGCGCAGCAGCTGGCGACGGGCGGGGCAGGGTCAGAGGGGGGGGGGTAAGTCCGGGTCACAGCGGGGTCAAGGGTCAGTGTGGGGTTGGCCCGTGCTACAGCAAGGTCAGGTCAGTCCATGTAGCAGCGAGGCCAGCTCGTGTCACGACGAGGTCAGCTAGTCAAAGAGGTCACAGGTCGGCACGAAATCAGTTCGTGTCACAGCGAAGATATTCAACACGGGTAGGTGACAGACAGTCAACGACCATCGGCGCTACGCGATGGTCATGGTACCCGGCCTAGTTTCTAAGCTAGGAAGTATCAAACTGATAAACGGGATACGCAAAGAGTTATGACCAATCCATTGTCAAAGGGCTAGCAGAGCTGACATTGACTGTCCGACTCCCTGAGCGCCTCCTATCGGCGATATATGGATCCGCGCCATCGCTGACTGGTCCGTAACCAATCCGCCCACTAAGAACGCCGGGGTCAGGTCACGGCAAGAAAAGGTCGGTCAGCACGGCCGGTGAACTTCCAAGGCTAATCATTGGTGTCCAAGTTCGGCCCGGTTATGTTTTGTTACTTTGCGTCCGGCTGCAAAAAGGAGCGCTATCACGATCGCCGGAAATGGTGGTGACCGTCTCAATAAGGCGGTCTGAATCGGTGCCTGGCACGGCCATATCGCGAGTTAGGCCATGTCAGCCCACAATGGTACTGTCCAGCTCTGATGCACTTCTTGCACGGTTCTGGTAGGACGGCCGAGGGCGGGGCCGTGCATTTGCACCATGACAGCTAACGACACCCACTGGACAACAAAGGGCAGCGAATGGACAGCGTCCGCAGTACCGACCGGCACAGGGCACTCAGCCGGACACATTAAACCAGTTGCGACGCCTCCTGAGCGCTAAGGCTAAGCCGTCACGCCAGCGCCAGATAAGTAGAAAGCGCAGGCTTCACTGGCCATGAGTCACCTGATAAGGTCACTGTGAGCCACCGGGTCACTGACCTCTGTTGGGTCACTGACCTTTGCCAGGTCACTGACCTCTGCCACTCTGTTCCTGGACGTGAGGAAGCTGAGGATGCCGCGCATCATCCAGGAGGCCTGCGTCTCGGCGGGGTGGATTCTGGCTGTCAGCACCACCGCCCTCCGACTCTGCAATTGGGCAAAACGAACACAGCCGGTCACGACAAACCGCCAGTAAGTAATGTATGCACGTTTTAACATGTAGGTGTTAGTACTCGCAATGCTCTTAGTGAGGACATGTCAGCTAACGGTCGCTCTAACAACAATCACCCGAGGACAGAACAGATAGCCTACCTACTGGTACATACTAATAATTCTGGTCTGACGGTATGTGATTGTGATCTATGTGTCTCTGCAGCACGTGTCGGCTAGATACAGGAAAGTAGCAGGTCACTCACCAAAGACTTACAGGAAAGACATGTCGATCAGTTAGGTAGACAGTAGACACAGGCCACGGTGACGTCTGGTGGCTATCAAGGCTATGGGACAGCGGTCGTAAAGCACATGGATACAGAAGATTACACCACTAACACACAGCAGCCTGACAGAACCTAACCTTCTGTGAATGTCTGCCACATGGGCGGCGGTCTTTAGCCTGAATCATAGCAAATAGAACCGAGGTTCTTGGCATTTGGATAATAGTGGACATTTTCCCATTAGTGGCCTAGTCTAAACTAGATGGTCGAAATGCAGAGAACGTGCGTCAAACTAAAACACTGGGATTACACCACAAACCATGGTTAGTTGTATGGCTAATTTTTACTTCTTATTTATCTATGGTTACAAATTACTTTTCTAGTTACTATGCTCTTTCTTTTCTAACTTTGCAAAGTTCTTTCCAGTTTAGAACCTTATTTGAAGCTTTCATTATCGTTAATGTCAATTTTATATGCATTATGCGTCTTCCGGACTGCACATTTCCCAAAAGCCTCATAAGACATCCAAATCACTAATCCCTCCACAAATCAGACGAGCACACGTGATTATCTTATTATGGCTGTGGTCGCGGACTCATCAACGGCCTAAAATATCGTAGTCTATCCCCAAATAGCGTTGCCCTCCGACCCGTTTCCCGGAGCTCCTGTAATCGCCGCCGCCGTCACGCACGGCCCCTGTTTGCTGGCGTCTCTCCCTCTCGGGGAGTCAGACGGGTTCGGCGGCTCGGCCCGGCCCGGATGCCAATTACCGGTCCCAGTTTGGTCAATGATCGGAAATACACCGCGAGTCGGCGGCGGGGAGCGACACGGGGCCGACATCGACCAAACCGACCTCCGAGAGCCCCGTGCGCGCTCTCACCGCACTCCAGAGCGAACGGCGCGCAAAGGGGCGGCCGGACACGGAAACGAGCGACGCCGCCGACTTCCTTAATGGCCGCGGTCGGACTCTTCCCACATCTTCCCCCTCCCCCCAATGTCCGCCGCCGACCTCCTCAGCCACCACGGCCGGACAGTGGCGGCCGGGCCGAGTGAGTCGGCCTCGGTACGGCGGTACGGGGTACCGCTGTGACCCGCAGCCGGACGCCCGTGACAAGTACAGCGAAACCAACACGACATATGAGAAGTTACTGTCTGAAGCGTTGTCTGCAGACCAAGCCTCTGCCCTGCCCGATCCGACCTCCTGCCGCGCCGCCCGGTCCACCGCTGGCCCCGCTAACTGCATGGGTCGGCGTGCGGCGCTCAAAGTCACGCTGTGATTTGTGTGTGGACAGTCCTGTCGGAAATGGCGTGCCGCAGACGTGCTTTATGGAAACGCTAACGCCGGTCCGTAAAGGACACGCGAGTCACATGCATGATGCATATCGCGTACGGCATATGACCTACACCGCAATCCGTGGCCATCATCCACAGGTTATAACGTGTCCACATAGAAGTACCTAATGTAACCATAATAGTAATGGACCGTAGTAGATTTTGTCTTCGTCACAAAGTTATTTATGGGAGGTCACAAAAATACTAATGATTTACATTTGTGTTGTATGTAAGTAACAACATTCAGTTAACTACTTAGCGCAAAAGTCCCGAGACATCGCGAAGTATCAAGTATCTCGATGACCGAGTGTGTGCTGTCAGAAAGCTGACGGGTCCGCAAACCTACCTTTGAGGCCGGCAGGTCGGCGGCTTGTACCTGCCTGTACGGCCGGCGGTCGTACACAGTTACCTACCTTTGTGGCCGGCGGGTCGGCGGCTCGCACCTGCCTGTACGGCCGGCGGTCGTACACAGTCACCTACCTTTGTGGCCGGCGGGTCGGCGGCTCGCACCTGCCTGTACGGCCGGCGGTCGTACACAGTTACCTACCTTCGTAGCCGGCGGGTCGGCGGCTCGCACCTGCCTGTACGGCCGGCGGTCGTACACAGTTACCTACCTTTGTGGCCGGCGGGTCGGGTGATGTGATGGTGAGCAGGAAGACGGGGTTTCCGGCCAGCGAGCGGCACAACACGCGCTGGTGGCAGATACTGGAGATGTACGGGTCCGACTGAAACACGAGAACACGAGCCAGAGATAGGTCAGGCGAGGAGGGCACACTGTCAATCCAAGGTCACCGCACGGGGAATATACTGAACGAGACAGGGTTAGGTAGAGCACAGCCAATGAAATGACACCTGGGCTGATAGTATGGATACTGACTAATTCGTGATCTTAGTGAATACAAATGCACAATAGTATGACAGTGAGCGCGTGATTCCAAGCACAGAGGCATTGCGTGGTGTATTCTATACTGGTATCCATAATCCGACCACACACTTTTAATGAAATCATCAACGCATTATTGTCTAAACCGCCCCAGCTTGTCTGGCATTCGGTCGTTTGGCGATTCGGCGGACCCGCTGTGTTTGATGACGAGGCACGAGCAATGCGGCACAGCATAGTTTCAGGCGCTGAACCCTGCTGCCATCTAGCGGCAGGATTGTTAGTAATGAAACTGCAACGACATCGCTTCCGTCAACGTCTGCATTCTGCTAGACGGCACCTAATGTAGTCGGCATGCTCTGACGACGAAACTGACCACTGACGCGTCCTATGATGTGCGACTGATGGAGGACGACCAGTGACCAATAGCCCATCCTAAAGCCAACACTGACCGGGGCTAACCACTGGCATGGCCTATGACGCGCGACTGATGGGGGCTAACCGATGACACGTCCTACGACCAGCGACTGGCCGAGGCTGACCGGTGGGCCGTAGACCGTCCCACAACCGACCTGTATCTACCGCAGGTGGTCCGGAGCTGACCTTTGTTTGTTTTGTCATTTGTCTGCACGTTTGTTTGTTTCTCAATGACTGACCTGCATCAGCCGGAGGTGGTCCGGTGTCTGTTCGTCTGTCTGTCTGTCTGTCTGTCTGTCTGTCTGTCTGTCTGTCTGTCTGTCTGTGACTGACCTGCATCTGCCGGAGGTGGTCCTGCAGCGCCGAGAAGGTGTACGGCAGCCCGCTGGCCAGAAACACCGTGTCGTTGTCGTACGGAAACTCCAGCGTGAACGACAACACGTACGACTGCTCGGTCGTCTCCTGACCGTCCACACTCCTGCCGGCCGCAGAGCACGCTTGGGTAACGGCAACTACTTAATAAGGCTCCTAATGAAACGATGGGCGCGGCTTTGCCCTTCTCGTGTTCGGTGTTTCAGTTTCACGGTAAGTTGTAGAGGGACTTTACAGCTCCCAAATATTAATAGTAAATGCGACACGACCATCCGAATACGCACGCTAAGCTAACGAATCATGATTCAAGTAGCCCATTCAATTAAATAATGCAGACCAAAAGTCCACAGCACACATTCAGCTCACAGTCTGAGCATGCGTCAACGCACACGGGCTCGGAGCAGCCGAGCCCGGCAACTGTGCTGACCCGGTGACCTGCCAGGGGCAGTAGGTGCTGACCTGGTGATCTGGCACGGGTAGTAGGCCAGCTGGTCGCCCACCCTGCGCCACCCGGTGCCAGTTCGTTGAGCGGCCGCCACCGAGTACATCAGTGGCTGCTGACCGGAGGTGTAGAGCGTCCAACAGCGCGAGAAGTTCGTCACCGAAAACCTGACCGAGAAACGACAGGTCAGGATCGGCTAAGATAGTGACGGTCATAGGGTGACGGTTAAATACGCTGGAGGGAGGGCAAGGGGCATGTTTTAACCGTTTTAACCTTAGGTCGTTTCCGATGTTCTAAAACACTGGGAATTTCAGAATCAGCTACCGTTAACAACTACTATACGTGTTACGAGGTAAGAACACCTAGCCTATACAGATAAAGAACGCCTATAGACTCCAGATTCGCCCTCTCAAAGACCTCATAAGTGACCTATAGAGCTCCCTCCGCCCATCCACAGACCTCATGCCTACCTATAGAGTTCGCCGGCGCGCGTGTTGCGTATGCGGAAGTAGAACCACTGCGTGTGCCGCTCCGTGTAGAGGTCATTGCGCATGCGCAGCTCGTAGTAGTTGCCGGAGACGTGGACGGCCTCCTGCAGGTTTCCGGACTCGAAGCGCGACTCGAACTGGAGCACGCTGTCGGGCTCGTCGGCCGGCGAGGAGGGGTCGTCCTCGGCGGCCGACGGGTCTAGCAGGCGCTCCGGACACGATCTGCTGAACTGGACAGAGGGACAGTGGGGTCACACACCCCCTGGGTGGGCGGGTCTGAACTGGACGGGGACAGACAGCGAGGCCGGCACGCAGGGCGTGAGCTGACCGATACACGGCACAGTTGGTATGCAGCAGTGTGACGTCGCAGCGCTGCTATCCTTGAAATACCGTTCAGTTTTGAAATTCACTAAGCCGCTTGACAGAAATCATCTGAGCCAGCAAACTTCCAAGAAAAACAGCAGCGCTGCAAAAGCCCTTAACTTCATAGTTATCACTGGAACGGGAATGACAGTCACGTCTAGCAGGAGAATGAACACCTCGTGAGTTCGACCTAACTCCACTTCCCGTGCCCCGGGTCCCACCGCTCACGTACGGCACGACTGGTCTCGTCGGGTCTGTACTGGAACACCACCCTGCCGAGCTCGTGGCCGACCGGCGGCGGCGTCGGCTCGTCGCCCTTGGCCACGTAGTACTGCTCGCGCTCCGAGGGGCTCTCGCTGAGGTGGCGGAACGCCTCGCAGACCACCTGACGGCGGACGGCACCGTGGGGTCACACCGCTGACTGTCACAGCACCATCGGGTCACATTCAGCCGTATCTCCGGCCATGGCACTGAGTGCGGCCACATTGACGGCTATCACTCTTAGCGATACTGAAGTTAACATACCTAAGTGGTGACATTTCCTAAAAGCGGGTTAGACAAGCTACGAGCATAGTTGATACTCAGAACTACACTGATATTTTGTTTTTCTGACGACTATCCCCGGGGTGGGTGACACCGGGTCTCAGCTCGTCTCGCCCGTCTACAAGCCACTCGGAGTACCTGAGCCGGTCCCTGCTGTCTGACCTGGCATTCAGAGCGACTGAGCCCGTCCTGTCGTCTCACCGGTCTAATTGGACCGAAAGGGCCTAACCCAACAAAACAAACAAACAAATCGTCTCACCTGACATTCGGAAGGCCAGCGGGGCGGCAGGTACTTGGGCGCGTCCCGGCCGCCGCTGGCCGTCTCCCGGGTCCGGCCGGGCCGCAGTCCGCGGGACGTCATGTCGTCCAGGCCGTGACAGAGCAGCGCGCCGGATTCCCCGTCTGACGGGCCGTGACGTAAAACAGACAGATGACAGGTCAGCAGAGTGGTGCGGCCTCTTCTTCTGATGGGCCAGTGACGTCAAACAACAGTCATGGTCAGCAGACACAGAAAATGATACAAACACCGAGAATAGCTCAGACGAAACAGAAAACACCTCGGCAGACGCAGAAAAAAAAAACAGCTCAGGTGAAGCACTTGCCACTTACAGTATGAAATTAAGGAAGAACGTGAGGATAACGCTTCAAAACTAATCTAACACGCAGCAACTGCAAAATACAAATCATATGCTGATGGATGAGTGCAACACGACCTGACACTGCTTCCTATTGGTCCGTGGTTTAGTTTTTCGCGTTAGCCACGCACACGTACTGGTGAGTGACAGGGTGGGATGGATACGGCCGTGTTATCTGATGGAAGGCTCGTCACACATTCATAGCTGCTCACAACAAGATCAACAGTACAACACCCGGCACTGGCGGCCAGGCGGGACAGCGTGCGTGGAGGGCGCGCGACGCGACTGATAACGCAGTCAGTGTAAGTACTGGTGAATTCATAGACGCTAACACTGCTGTGCGATCGCTATACTCACTAGTCAGTACAGCTGCGGTGAAAGGACTGAAGGACATATAACGGACTACCGTATAAAAAACCTCTCCCATCCATCCATATTCCACACATCTCATCATTTCTTACAAGATACAGCCATAAAGTAACGAATAAGCCACACCAGGCAGATAACATCCACTCAACCACATGCAAATAAGCACGTCTGACTACCCTCCCCGACTACCGTGCATACCTGCGGCGCGCGGTGCGCTGGCGTGCCAGGAGAGCGTCTGCGGACCCATTCCGGGGACGGCCGCCGGCGCGCGGCCACGGCCGAACACTGCCGGCTGGTGGGGCGGCCGGGCCGTACCCTACCCCACCGACAGGGCGGCCGGGCTGCCCCGCCGACGGAGAATCGATTAGGGGAGGGCCAGAAAGGTGCAAGCATGCGATAAAATAACAACACGGAACTGTGGGTTTACAGATCGTCCAGTGTAGCTGAGAGGTACACTTCTTTCATGGGAAATTACCGCAACCATTAACCAACGCCCATTTCAATCAGTGGCGGCCCACAGCCGTGTGTGCTGAATCAATACATTATGCCGTCCGTCACCCGGCTTGGTTCTAATGACACCTGGTCAGCCCTCCGTCACCATCACGTAACAAGGGCGACATCGATACTAATGTGGGCCCAGCGGCGGCTGCCCGCGGCCCGGCTCACTGACACAGGTCGCCACGGGCTGACCCATTTGACCTAATAACAGCTCGGTCAGCAGCCTAATACCAACCTAATGACGAGTGAGCCAGCGACGCAATACTGACCTAACGGCTGGGCCAGCGACCTGATACTGAGCTAACGGCTGCGTCAGTCACCTAATGCCAACAAAATGGCGGCTGCTCGCGGCAGGAATAGTTGATTGGGCCAAATGATCAGCCAATCTCGTACCAAGCTTAGAGATCATCAATCACTTTCCCTTAATACGACTCCGGATAATACGATATTTTATTTGTTTCGTTCACTCCATACAATGTAAATATGTGATAAGTCACAAAGAAATAGTTCACATACGAGCTCGTAGCTAAGACTTGTACCATGTATACATTGACGCGAGCTCGAAGCACCTTGAACCTAAACAGCAGACCCTCGTACACAGTCCACACCTCATCAACTTAACTTAGCTCATTCGACTTTTCTCTCACTGCGCCTTGTCCTCGAACTTTTCGTAGAGGTCCGGCTGGGCTATCCGGCTCTCCCTGTCCTTGTTCTTGATGAACTCCTTCAGCAGGGTCATGATCTCGCCGTCAAACTCGGCCGGGGTTTCTCGGACGCCTGCCGGAGGGGGGGGGGAGAGGCGCACGTGTTAGAGACCGAGGGGAGGCGGCACACGTGTCTGAAGAACGACACGCGATTAAGCATGGATGGGTCGTGTGGGGGTAGCACCTGAGTCAATCTGCCACCTGCCGCGCAGACAGCAGACACCAGACACCAGACGACAGACACCAGACGACAGACACCAGACGACAGACACCAGACACCTGACGACAGACACCAAAAAGCAGACGGTGGAAACCAGACAGCAGACCCCAAACAGCAGAAACCAGACACCAGACGGCAGACAATAAACACCAAACGGCAGCGGAGACCAGAAGACAGACAACAGACACCGGACGTAGAGCTCAGGGGAAGACACTCAACTTCACACAGCTGACACGTCTGGTGGTGCTAACATGACCAATCGCCAAAACACGATCACAAACTAGATAGATAACCGCAAATAGTCTTTCGGGGTTTAAGGTCAACTCTTCAATTTTTGCAGGCACGATAAAAATATGAATCGATGAACAGGAATATATTTGGCCCCGGGTGAAAGTTCGACATCGAGCCTTGCTGGATGGACGGCTTCAATTCTCACCAGTTCCTCATTAGTATCTTAGTCGCTGAAGGGTTGGGGCTCTCGCCAGTCGCTGGAAAGATCATTTGCTGAAATTTTGTCCGGACGGATGAGTGGGTGGCTTAGGGTCAGAGTGCCACGCAAGGCAGTGCTTGTTGCAAATGACCCACCGACCAGCCTTACCCGCGCCCGGCTCACCGATTGCATTTTTTAGCGAAAGTTTAACGCATTACAGGTACTGTAGATGGCGACATCGGGCCCAGCGTCGGGATCACGCGGAGGTCTGGAGTTTGGGTTCTCACCCGTCATTTGGTACAGGGCTGGGTTTCTCACCATTCGCGTAGCCCAATAGCAGAATATGTCCTAGTCGTTGGACGGCTGGGGTTCTCACCAGTCGGTGGTAGGTAGGGTTCTCACCGGTGGCCCAGTAGAATACGTCCCAGTCGTTGGACGGCAGGGGTTCTCACCAGCCATTGGGTAAGATACTAGGGTTCTCACCGGTGGCCCAGTAGTAGATGTCCCAGTCGTTGGACGGCTGGTTGATGAGCTTGTCGTAGGCGTCCAGCTGCGTCTCGGTCATGCCGGCCAGGTAGCGGCTGGCGAAGGTGCTCAGTACCAGGCCGTTCTCCAGCATACCGCGCTTCCGAGACTGGTACAGCAGCCTGCAGTGAAGGGGAGACTGGTGAGGAGACTGGCACAGCCAAGGTTACATACCTATATTACAAAGGAACACAGCAGTTTCGATAACGGGAGACCTGGTGACAAGACGACTGACCCAGAAGCCTGGATCAGTCGGTCCAATGCATATCGCCGAGGTCAGCTTAGATCCACTGAGTGAATACGACAGCGACGGCATCAAACCAGTGCTAGAGAAGCGTGTATCAAAGTATGCAGGAGGTTAGTGACGGTTTTTTTTTTGTCGCTGATCCACAGCAGATATGCCGGCACGGCGTGATGACGCTTTATCGACTTCCAGTTGCCACATATCAAGGAATTTGTCGTGCGCCACCCACGATTTTTCTTTATTTTTACCTGCGGTGATAAATTTCAGACCGCAGCCTGACGAGGGCCATCTGGTCGCTGTGTGCCCACTCATTTGGACCATATTGGCTTTCCGTGTACTCTGCGAGCTGACCGTTTGCTCTCGGTGCCAGAGTTACACCCACCGGGTACAGCCGCGAACTTCTGAGGTCGAAACCTCATCCATCCCCAAAATCCATTTTCTCATTGAATTTCGGCCGCTAACTTCCGTAAAAGTAAAACAATTAAAAAAATGCTTCCGTAAAAGTAAAACAGTTTCTAAAAAAAATCGAATAAACGCAAGAAAGCGGAAAATAGGGAGATCCCTGTCTACAATATTTGACTGGGAGACGCATGACTAGAAAGCAGATCATAAGACATCGACAATTATGTGTACTAGTGCACAGACAACGGATTGATTTCTTTGGACAGCTCTGCCCCAATCGGAACCGATCCAGCAACCTATCCAATCACCGTTCCCGCTCTAGGAAGAACCTAGCGCTCCTGCAGGGGCGCCGCCACCAGACCTCCCTCCTTGCAGAGTCACACCCTACAGAAAGAGCGACGTCGACCGTTTGCAGCAAAGAACCGGCTTGGCGTCCGTGTCTAGCTCTGGCTCATCAGCGCGAGTACGGTGGCTGGTTCACACCATTGATGCGTTAAGCCGGACCTGCCGCTCGGACGTGGCAGCATGGAGACTGGAACGTTTAGGTATAGTTTTACCAGTGTAAGGTACAGCTTTACTTCGCTATTTACCTTGTCAAAAACGTCACTGCCGGACTTCTTAGCCGCAACCGTGTCCGTAGCACCGTACTCTTGTGCGCCGTAACAGCGCGGGAGCCAGGAGTGGGAGTTTAGGCGGGAAAACAAACAGAGTTTGCTTCACCATACTTTCCCTTGATTTGGGAGGGGAGAGTTGTTTGGAACAGAAATCACAGATTATTGAGTTGAAAGTCACTGAAAAGTGGGGGCCAGGGCCCAGGTCACCGGCCATTTGGGCCGGACGGAGCCTGGCCCTTAGTTGCTACGTCTCTACACGTGGAGCGTTTGGTCTCCGTGTCGCACCCACCTGGAGCGTTTGGTCTCCGTGTCACACCCATCTGGAGCGTTTAGTCTCCGTGTCACACCCACCTGGAGCGTTTGGTCTCCGTGTCACACCCATCTGGAGCGTTTGGTCTCCGTGTCACACCCACCTGGAGCGTTTGGTCTCCGTGTCACACCCACCTGGAGCGTTTGGTTTCCGTGTCACACCCACCTGGAGCATTTGGTCTCTGTGTCACACCCACCTGGAACGTTTGGTCTCCGTGTGCTCGTCCGCCCTCGGCTGGTACTCGGGGATCCACGGCTCCTTGATGCCCTCAGGTTCATACAGGCCGGAGTCGGAGCCGCCCGGGGTCGACGTCGAGGAGCAGCGCATCGACGGTACCAGCACGGCTGGGCGGGCAGCAGGCACCAGACGGCCCAGGGTCACGGCACACCTCCAGCTCAGAGACATTGCTCACAGACTGACAGCCTGTAAATGTACACATGAAAGTGGTGACAGGTGAGGTCAGCAGGGTGGAATGACCCATATTGACCTCTGATAATTATTTGTTTAAGCATTTTTGGCATTTTAACCCTCGCATGTGTGCGGCGTTTTCCAGCTTCTAATGTGTAGGGGGGGGGGGTCGGTTGGACCCCCCCCTTGCCGTTTGGCCCCTGATCGAGCTAGAGCTTCGCGGAAAAACGAGCGTGTTGCCCGTGACGAGAGGAAGCCGATGATACCCAATTTTAAGGTCCTAGGTCATTGGTTGACCTTCCAGGTCAGGTCAATGACCCAAAGTCGGGAAAATCGGGACCTATTAGAAAGTCGTAAAGTGTGGCTGCTAAGGGGTTTTTCGGGGTGCTGATCACGAATATCGTGTTAGTTTTGATCACAGATGATGTCTTTAAGCATTTAGACCAAGTCGGGTCAGGTCAGGTCAGGTCAACCAGTAGGCGTCGTGACGGGTATTCGTAGTATACGTGTCAACCGCCTCTGACAGCTTCGTAACATGTTACGAAGGCACCAAAACTACTTCGTAAATGTTCAAATGGCTGCTAAATTCGAATTCAGCTCCAAAAACTAGCCTAGAAACATGTAAAACTCGAAAAAGTGAACTGAGGTCACCCGAGGTCACCAAAGGTCAATGACCTGACCTGACCTTCAGGTGACCTTGACACCCACCCTAATGCATGGGAGCAACATCAAATCACATGTTTGAACGTTTGAAACCACGAAAAGCTTGCAAACGCGCGGCTAATGCGAGCCGACGTACGCCAAATCGCGATTCCGGCCAAACATGGTCTCGGAAAAGAGGTCACAGGTCAAAGGTCATTTGGGTCAGGGTCATGAAATTTTCATGGTAGGTGTAAAATTGATCAATGCGAGGGCACTGAAAGTTTCGTCGCGATCGGCCGCTTTTTACGCGAGTTATTCGCGAAAAACCATGGGGGGGGTCCATCCGACCCCCCCTACACATGCGAGGGTTAACTGGCATTTATCATTTATAAAGTCACAGAAAAGTTTAATATACCACTTGAAGAAATTGCAGTTGATATGAAAACATACAGGAACCAATTGAGCCAGCCACTATCAATTTCCACATCAGTTGTTACTTCTTTGGATTACCTATTGGCAAAATTTGGGGGCCTGGGAGTACCTCAATGCAAAAGCTTCAGGCAGCTAGTATTAACTAGTCCCTGCTCAAATAAAATAATTGATTTTTTTAATAAATCAAGCTAGAATCTTTGGAATGGAGAATCGACTAGCCCACACTAAACAGAGCTTGTTACATAGACCCCAATTCTACCATCCAATTCGGACTCTGTTCAGCCACTGATTTTATCAGCATGCCTTCAGTTTTTCCCATATAGGGAAGTTATTGATGACACTTCTTGGCCTCTCATTGGTCAAATGAAGAGATGTGAATTAGACCAATGAGGAGCAAAGAAATAGCAGTATGCCCACAGGCTGCTGATAAAAAACTGTGACCGAACGACGGACAGCACCCTGGGTAACAGGAGAATTAAGTTGCTTAAGTTTAATGTGCTCATCCAAGCAGGACACTGCCTGTCCCACTCAACTGACTTCAACTGGCTGTGGTAACTGAGTGCTGGAGCGACTCCGACCAGCGCTCCTATTTGTATTACCAGGAATCCAGAGCTCTACCAACTGAGCTACGGGACAGGCTATAAGACAACCTGTAGAAAAGCTGAATTAATTTTCAATTTAAAGTTGAATTGGCAGAAAACCTCAGCTGTAGGCATGCCATTTAAATTCTACTTTGTCAAATATCAATGCATAAATTAAGCATCAAAAAATGCAAAATAAGCAATAGAAGCTCAATGCTCTACAGTTGTTCTAATGAAACTCTGCCTCGGTACCTACCTCTCAAATATAAATATAACGATAATCAAGAGTCAAGGCTATTTTCGTTCAGCAGACCTCTTCTACACGATAGAAGAACAATACATTGACATTACGTAATGATCTCAGACCCAAAACAAAGTTCCGCATATCGCATTTTTGTTCGAAAGCAGGAAGTGATGAATTTGTGCTTCTTTCGAAAAGCGCGTTGCCTAGCAATCAGCTTCGATATTCGGAAAAGTAGCGAGTTGCCTAGCAATTTACAAAGTAAATAAACTAACAAACAAATCATTTGAAACAAGTTCGTCATAAATGTCCTGCACATTATGTAACTTGCACGCGTGGGCTGTTGTTATGTAATGGAAATTCATCTTGATCTCCTGTGTTATCATCTCCAGTCAGGTGTCTGATTGGCAGTTTTCCATACAGGTAAAGACTACGGTACTGTAGCTATTTTTGTTCTGGTTGTACGATGAGCATACAAATATATATATTGATCAAGCTGAGACAGATAGCTACCTACCTACCTACCTAAGCTGTTACAATGAAAACGGTCTTTTGAATTGTGTCAAGGCAAAGGAGGTTGTAAACATCATATAATCTTTATCCAGTCAGGGCTGTTCATGTGCCCTGTGTGAGGTCCGACCGTACACACCACTACACAGCCTCCAAGCTCCGCCCACTGCGTCCCTACGTCAGCCTTCCGTCACTGCACAGGGCCGCTGTGGCCGGTCAGGACTGGCCACACCCCCACGCCTGCTGGGCACACTGCAAACACTGCACGCAGCAGTGTGCGGTGCCTGTGAACACCCCGTAGTAATGGTACTTAGCAGTAACATGATCCAGTAGGTAACTACAAACCAACTGACTGAAACCTATCATGGGTATCTTTAAGGGTGCTGTGTGCTGCAATGCCTCTGCGGAGTGACGGCTCACACTGGGTTCCAAGACCTGAAGATCAAGCTTGACCTGAGACTTGAGAGTGTTATGTCACTCAGTCAACTAGTCCACATCAACCCATGATAGTTGTGCACCAGCTCCTGCAAGCCCTTCAGTTTCACTAAGGTCTCACTGGACTTCTGGAGTTGGGGGCCAAACCAACCTTTCATTGCCCCACATTAGCATTTTAAGGGCTCTCACCATGCTCTCAGATTCCTCCCAAAGTCCTATGCTACCTTCTGAGGGCCTGACAGTTGATACTAGTTCCTTTTAGCCTCCTCTGTGTTTTGGGACCTTTTTGTTATTGACTAGGTTAAGGGCTTCATGTTAGCCTTTAATGTCCCAGTCTGTCATCCAAGAGTCTCACAGTCACACCAGTTTTTGGTTACCTAAAAGGACTTCACAGTTCACTCCATCCTTAAAGTGCCTTTGGGCATTAGGGTTTAGAGTCCAATGGAGGCCTGTTCTCAGGCCTCATGAGGACTATAGGGGATCATTTCAGCTCCTGATGCCCAATGGTTCCATGCCAACCTTTCAGGGGCTAAGGGAACCTCATGTGATTGTTTCAGAATGCCAGGGGTCCCATGGCCCACACAGATTGCTTGGGGCCCACGCCAGCTTCTGATGGCCTTTGCTGGCTCATAGTACTGTCCTTGCTTTAGAGAGAAACATGTCAGCTTCTGGGGTCTTGCACTGAGCTCTGGAGCACACACTGGCCTCTGAAGGTAGGTGCCTCACCTCACCATCCTAGAGGAGGTATAGTTGATTTGAGGAGCACACATCAGTACCTGAGGGCCCCATGCCAGTCTGAATATCTTGTGAAGTCGGTCTCGAAAGACCCTTCATTCAGCACACTTGGTAAGACAGTAGAATGCAGCCCTGGGTTGCTCGACATTCTCTCGTCGAGGCAATATCTCAGATTAACAGGCCCGTGGCGTGTCCCGACGATCAAAGTTTCGCACAAGTCTGAGTGTGCCACGGTGATTTTGGGGAACTCATACCGACCCGAGAGGACCTCAAGCCAGTCTAGGCGGTCTAGAGAGGTCATTAATCATGTGATGGCGGTCGGCTCTGACCATTTGCCGTAAGTGTGGCACGTAAACCAAGGAAGGTACAATTTAAATCCCATCTCGGCCATTTTGAATAATTAGTTAAGAAATTTCGAAACCGGTTCAGTACTTCGTACAAATGGTTGAGTTGGCAGCTGTGAGCCCTTGTGTCACACTAACCACGGCTGGCTACAAATGGCGCCATGAACATGCTATCCCACTTTGAACTCTTTTCATGGGTATTATCGGTACAATATTTACCTTTTAACGGCACTAAGCGATACCATCCACACACTCCGGTATGATAAGCTCTCGCCGTGACCATGTTTCGCGCCTGTAACATCTAGTGGTGGAGTAGGTATCATCGTCTTAACCTCCGCGTTATTGCGACTGGAATTTGGGCTATGTAGTTGAGCGGTTAACTCACAAAATGCGTTGAATAATGAATATGGCTATTATTGACGGTATTTTGCCGAATAAGTTTCCGTAAAGTTCGTAATGTAAGCTGACTGGCATCGCTGTTGTTTCAGTTTCACGTCCTAGGAGCATCAATCCAGACCTCGTTTGAACCATGCCCGAGGGACCTGAACTTCACTTGTCCTCACGGTTTGTGAAGAAAGTCGGAGACGCTCGGCAGTTCGCGGGGAAGATCCTGGAGAGGCTGCCGGCCAACCGTGCTCCGAGGCTGGACGACCTGAACTCCCGGCTGGGCGCCGCCGCCCGGTACACGATCACCTCCTGGTCGCGAGGGAAGGAGCTGATGCTGGCCATCAAGCCGCTGGACCTTCCCGAGACGAGCAAGTACCGGCCCGAGGAGTGGAGCATCCGCTTCAACTTCGGGATGACCGGGTGCTTCAAATTCACTCGGACCGACGAGCTCCCGAAACACGCCAAAGTTTGGTGAGTTGTGTTAATGTTAAGATTGATATCCGTCGAAACATCGTTATGGATTTACTAATGCTGTGTAGGTCATGTTGCACTGTTAAAAAGATAGCGTATGCATTCAAGTGACGCTGTCCTGACGACTGGTCACGACTCCCGCAGTTTCACCGCGGTCGGAGAGCCGGCGTGCACTCTCAGTTTCGTGGACATGCGCGGCTTCGGCCGGTGGACGCCGACCTCGGACTGGTCGGACAACCGCGGCCCGTGCATCCTCCAGGAGCGTGACCTGTTCCGCGCGCACGTGCTGGCCAGTCTGGAGGCCAGTCCGTTCAGCAAGCCCATCTGCGAGGTGATGCTGGACCAGCGCTACTTCAACGGCGTGGGCAACTACCTGCGCGCAGAGGCACTGCACAGGTGGGAATGGTGGGCTGTGGACGATGAACTGTACAGGTGGGGCGGGTGGGTTGTCTGGATGGTGAGCTGCTTGGAACAATGTGAAAGTGAATTTTAGGTTTTGGTGAGGCTGTCTACTGAGAGGCGAGTCCGCTGTTTTTCGTTTTTTTCATCGATGTTGAGAAATAATGCTAATGATTATGAAAAATATTCTTGCTCTTCGTTACACAGTTATGTACACTGTCAATATTGCCCATTATCAGCTTTTCACTCTAACCAGATTCGTCATGCACTCACTCGGTGTTACCGGGCTGCCCTCTGATTGTCACAGCTCCCCCGCCGCCCACTGACCCCGTCGGCCCGCGCTGTGCCGCAGGCTGGGTGTGGCGCCGTTCGCTCGCGCCCGCGACCTGCTGGCGTCGCTGCCTGAGCGGCTGGAGCCGGGCCGCAGCGACCTGCTGCACATGTGCCACCAGCTGGCCGCCGAGGTGGTCGCCCTCGGCGGCGGCAGGCGGTACGACGTGCCGCTGGACGTGCTGCACGAGCTGCTGCCGAGGGACGGCGTCAAGGAGGAGGGGGTGGAGCAGAACGGGCTGAAGAAGGAAGTCAAACGGGAGAGCGCGGTACAGAACGGGTTGAACAAGGAAGTCAAAGAGGAGGGAGATGAAGGAAAAGAAGAAGTTGATGCCTTCGAGGTGAGTGTCGCGATTGGGAGCAGGACTTTGTGACTGCTTTTGTGTTTTGCGAAGACGTCGTGAAATGTAGACGTTGGCCCAAACGGTAACACAGTAAGGCTCACCCAACCAGCTGAGGCAGTATCACTTAATCCTGCCTGTATGCTAGCAGACTCATTTCGCCTTTATTTTCGCCTAGTTTATAGAGGCGCTGATCATGGTGTTGCCCCTCGTGCCGCAGGAATGGCTGCAGTGCTACTACCAGCCGGGGATGAAGAACCTGGTGGACCACCAGGGCAGGACCGTCTGGTTCGCTGGCAGCCCGGGACCAATGGTCCCTAAAGGTGAGTGGGACCACTAGGGCAGGGCTGTCTGGTTTGCCGGCACCCGGTGCCCGGTAACTAAAGGTGAGCGGCACTATCAGAGCACCCGTGGGCCTGCGACCGATGGTCTCTGAAGGTTAGCTCGGTCACAGCCCGGCCCGGCCAGTCAGCAGTGCAGCTCACTGGTATGTGGTCGTATATGTCTGGTGTGACAGTTGGCACGCATTCGCCATCTTACCCAATTAGAGTTACCCAAAAATACCTACCTACTCTCATATATTGACTCGTATAGAATCATGAACAAACGTGGAATCCAGTACGGTTTAATTACAGGAATAATGCCGCTAATGTTCAGCAACAGGATGACCGCCAAACTCGTGGCGTGTAATTGTACATTATTTGACACGCCATGCAAAATGCAAATAATTTATTTTGAAAGACTTCTTCTACTACTAACACTGCATCAATTTTAGCTTGTTGAACCCAATGAGAACACGTTTCGAAATAGTATATTTGCCTTTCTTTTTTCGTCACTGAGTAACTGTTCTGGGACAGAGCTGCACTATTAGAATTCAATATATTTTCTTCTTGCACTCACAGCGAGAAAACAGCGCCACGAATCATCAAAAAAGGCAGATAAACAATCCGTGAAATCGGAGAGCTCCGACGAAGGAAGCTCGCCGCCTGAGAAGCGTGCCAAACGGGCCCCCCGCAGAGGGACCAAGGCTGAACCTGTGGAGGACCAGGCTGTCACAGACCGGCGGGTCAGTTCACGAGGGACGGCTGGGAAGGAGTCCGCCGAGAGAACAGTTAAAGTGAAAAACGAAATAAGCCGAAAAACTTCCACCGCGTCTAACAAAGCCGCTGGACGGAAAGGTGCGGGTAAGAGTACGAAGTCGCGATCAGCTGTGGTCGCTGTCCTTCAGAAGACCGAGAGGCCTTCGCCAGGCCAGAGGAGGTCCAAGAGGATATCGGCAGCTGCCAGGCAGACGTAGTCTGTCTTCCGTCGACAAATCGTTCCGAATTCCCGAGGCAGAGAAAGTGTCAGTGATTGCTCCTTATTGTGGTACGTTTACCGCACATGTAATTGTGTTTTGAAACGCTTGCTCATTGCGTCATCTATGTGTTTTTAACGTGAACAGGTACAAAAGACGTTTCATAGGCATCCTGTAACACCTGTGCTCAGGTGGAACACAATATAGTGAAGTGTTTCCCAGCATTATCATCCCATAGGCCTTCATTTTCTGGATACCGTTGGTCAATAATGGTTATAATTATTCGTGCGTATAATCCGTCGCTGCAAAAGCGCCAATGATGCAAAAAAGATATATTTGATTATTTTGTTCCGGGTTAGTTCTCTCAATCCATTTTCCCTAAAAAAAACATGTACGGTGTGAATGAACCTGAATGAGCGGTTTCGATTGCTGAGGTTGAGTGCTCATGTAAAATGTGTCGATGCCTACGGAATCATTCTGCTCAATAGCCATAAATTTCATACGATTTGGTGTCATCAGCCTTCAGAACTTTTACGGCGCCGCTCGCTGCTCAGTGTAATACTTTGTTTTTCTGTCATTTTTTTTCTTATCTACTATTTCATCGTCTTTTAGACACCGAGATAATCTAGACTGCCGAGTAGTTTTAGTCACACCCGGGCTTTTTTGCAGCCTGTTAGTGATATTACAATGTGCAGTTACGGTGATTTTGATATGATGGTACTTTTCTAATAAAAACAATATTTAGATAAAAAACGCTTTTTGTGCGGATGTTTCCGTCGTTCCTTCAACTGAATCCATCAGTGAACGCCAATAAGGTACATTTATTAATTATCTGCCATCTGAACATATCTGTACTGAATCTGTCCCGAGCCGCACACAACACTTGCACATAGCGTCAGATGAGTAAATCACCCCACTAACACAGGGGTGATGAATTAATGAACATTCCACACCACTTAGATACTGAGGGATACTTGCACACACGTTGGGTGATCTGCTAGAAATCGTTGCGATCGTATGAGAATATGTACAAGAGTTGTTTCGCATCAACACGACTGCGGTTGATATGCAGTGTGTTCTCGTGCATGCATGCTACTCATCGGAGTACCTACCAAGCTGAATGAATGAAAGGCAGCGTGATATACCACGACATCGTTTGTGAGTTGTGAGTCGTGACTGGTGAGTATGGTCGGAATGCTATGACGACGGAACTTCGTCCATGCCCACTAATGAACACATCAAAGGCGTGCTGGCGGAGCGCGATGAGCAAAATGATACAAAGCACGATTGAAGGGCGAGCCAGTGGAGCTCCAGCCCTTCTGAACTTGAGCCGAACGCGCTGTTGGGCTCGGCCGGACGATCGCCACTTGTCTCTTGGCAGACATCAGCCATTAAACATCAGCACCCTCCCCAATCCCGCTCACGGCTCGAGCGTGGTGACCGAGGTGACCTCGGCCTCAGCCTCTGTGGTGCTGACCAGCGCCATTTGCTCTGCGGGCGCCATTTTGTCCATGATGAGCCGGAGCTCGGAGAGCATCTGCGCCTCGCCGAGCTCGAGGCTGCGGCTGCGCGAGTCGCACGCGCTGGTGCAGTCGCGGAACTCGAGGAAGTTGTTGGCGTTGCCGTCGCAGCCGGTGTAGATGAAGGGCCGACAGCGTCGCTCCTCGGTGTCGTAGTAGTAGCGCAGCACGCGCGACAGACACGAGCCGGCCATCCGCGGCAGGGCGCACAGCGCTGTCGGCGCAGGGAACGTCAGTGGTGCACTGGGTTGTGGGCAGTGGTGGAGATACTCTACAGAACTACGTTTAGCTCTCACCGCGAAATAGACCGGGAAAGGGGTGAGTGGTCGATCTACCCGAGCTCTCGCCGCGAAATAGACCGGGAAAGGGGTGACTGGTCGCTCTACCCGAGTGACGAATTCACGTAACCATGTCAGCTTGTAACATACTCACGTCCAGTGACTATGCACTTTTGCATCCCTGACTACCTACCAAAGCCTTCTCTGATCTCACCAAGTCACCATTGCTGGGTGATCATGAATTCCATGAGTTATCTAACGCCCAGCTACCATACGCCCAGCAGGCGTATGGATTCAGTCTATGCTCTATGATATCGTTATCCTACTCGCTTTGCTCACCTCTGTCGTCCGGGGACGGCGGGGCGTCCACCTCCGGACAGCGGTCCTGGCAGTCGGCCATGCTGAGGAAATTGTTGGCCGTTGCTAGGCAACCGGTGAACGTGAAGGAGACGCACCGGCCCAGCGCCGAGTCGAAGAAGAACCTGCGAAAGAATCACGAGGTTAAGGTGGAGATGTCGAGCTAGTCGGTGGTCGATGTGTCATAGATGGTTCGCGGATTTTCTTTAAAACATTGTTTGTTCGATCTTGCCGGAAAGAAATGCAGTCCCTCCACACAGAGTAGTAACGTCCTGTCCGGTTAGTGGGCACAGCAGTAGCCGTAATGACTAACTCTCCTCCCTGTGTGGCTCACCTCTCCTCCCTGGTTAACTCACATCTCCTCCCTCACTTGTCCTTCTGGTCAGGCTCACCTTTCCTCGCCGTTTGCCTCACCTCTCTCCCTGTGTAGCCCACCGCTCCTCCCTCACCGACTCATCCCTCCTCCGGCCGTTTGTCTCACCTCTCCTCTCGGACGCCGCAGTTGACGCTGCCGTCCTCGACCGGCGGCAGCAGGCACACCTCCTGAGCGTCTGTGGCCGCGCCCACGCCGCAGCTCAGCAGGCACGCCCGCTCCGTCACAAAGTTGTTCTCGTTACCGCCACAGCCTGCGTACCGGAACCGGCGGCAGCCGCCCAGCAGCGGATCGTAGGCGAACCGCTCCATGGGACGGCGCACGTCACACCGCCGGCCAGGGTCGATCTCCAGCAGACACTGGTCTGAGGGGGGCGGCGAGAGGTCAGCGCTGGGACCTGTAGGGCACTTCAACGGCATGCAAATACTGCATTGTCAGGAGTGAATATTTGGATGGAAAGGTTTAGATTTTCATGATAAACTGACACGCTATTTTTGTTTGTTGCTCATTGATCAATACTGAGCATAAACAACCATGAACCCACTTAGTTCAATGGCGAAGAAAATAGCGGGTCTGTGAAGTAATCTGAATGAACGGCCGGCTGAACACTGGACAGCTCACTGAATGATGACTGTTCGGTATGCGAGTACCTTTGGGCTGGCAGGTTTCTCGACACTCGGCTCGCGTCATGAAGTTGTTTTCAGTCTCCTCGCATCCAGTGTACGTGAACGGAATGCAGAATCCCCGGTTGCTGGAATACCTGTAAAAGAGATAACATTTTATGTCACCTGCTGGGCTGCTGGGTGCTCAATGCTCATCCTGTGGCGTTCCTCGTTCTGACTGCCTTCCCGTCCCTGGTCCTGATCTAGCCCTACTCCCGGCCCTTCCTGAACCCAGTCCAGACGGCCGGCGCCACTCACGTGTATCGTTTGCTCTGGACGCCGCAGCCGCCGGCGTCGGACGGTTTGCGTTCGGCCTCCTGCCGGCAGCGCTCGGGCACGGAGGGCCCCGGCGGGCTGTGGCCGCGCCGGCGGCACGTGTCCGTGCACTGGCGTAGCGTCAGGAAGTTGTTCTCGGTGGCGCCGCAGCCCGAGTAGCGGTAGGCGCGGCACACGCCCGTGGCCGTGTCCCAATAGTAGCGCTGCTCCTCGCGCCGGCACGGACGGTCGCCCGTCTCCGGCGGCTGCCGGCGGGGGAGAGGGTTACATCGGCACTGTCGGTCGGTATAGGGGCGGTGAGCAGGTGGGAGAGAGGGTACAGCGTTCGCTACGGTCGGCACATTCGTTGATAGTTTTTGCAGTTGGTGATGGTCTGAATTCATATTCGATTCGTACCGAGACTATTTGCCTTACTGCACAGTCCATCCTTAGGCTTTTGTGTGCACTGTCATCCATTGGCCGCCGAACGAACTAAGGTGTTCCCCGGCACAGTCTACCTCACAGGCGTTTACATGTGCTGCCATCTAGTGAACACTGAACATACTACAGATGCCGTCCGGCAGTCTACCTCGCAGGCAGTTACATGTGCTGCCATCTAGTAGACGCTGCGAAAACTATAGGTGCTCCCCAGCGTCACCTCGCAGGCACTTACATGTGCTGCCATCTAGTAGGCGCTGAACAAACTACAGATGCTGTCCGGCACAGTCTATCCTACAGGCGCTAACGTGTGCTGCCATCTAGTAGACGCCGAACAAAATATATGCGTTATCCGGCACAGTCTACCTTACAGGCACTTACATGTGCTGCCATCTAGTAGACACTGAACAAACTTTAGATGCTGTCCGGCACAGTCTACCTCCACGGCGCTTTATTGTGCTGCCACCTATTGATTTTCGAACAAACTACACACGCTTACAGGCAGTCTGCCTCCGAAGCTTTGATTCGTGCTGTCATCTATTGGGTAGGAATGAGATACAGCTTCGCTCTCGCCATAAAGCGGATGGAACTCATCACTAAATCGGTGTTTCATGGTCGGCATTCATTATTTCTTTACTTTTCCATCGTTTCAAAGAAGTCATTTTTGTCTACTAGCCGTGCGCCTGGGACGGCCGTCCCGGGCTGCTGGTCACCCACCTAGTGACACAACGCGTTCTCGGCAGATTGTCCGTCTCTCGGCACGTCGTCACCCACCTGGTTGCAGATGTTCTCGACGGGTGATCTGGTGACCCACCTGGTTGCAGAGGTCGTTCTCGGTGGGTTGTCTGGTCACCCACCTGGTTGCACAGCTCGTTCTCGGCTCGGCGGTCGGTGTCGCAGCGCTCCAGGCAGGCGGCGCGGCTGGCGAAGTTGTTGCCGTTGCCGCCGCAGCCGCCGTAGCGGAACGTCTCGCAGGTGCTGCTGGTGGGGTCTCTGTACCAGCGCGTCTCGAACCGGGTGCAGCGGCCGGCGTCCGGGCGCAGCGTGCACACAGACGGGTCTGCCGGGGGATTGGTTCATAATTGTGATTTCTCGACGCCATTTTTCAGCAATTTGTGACCTTTGCCACAAAATGTGACAGCATTTTCAAGTATACTCTATCGTGTAGCATCACCAACCGCTCCGCCCCAGCTCTCTGGGCCCCCCACTTACCTTGTCTCCCGCTGGAGCCGCACTGCTCCTCGCACTCGGCCACGGTGGAGAACATGTTCCTGCCTCTGTCGCAGCCGAAGGTGACGAAGGAGCTGCACCGCTGCTCGGCCGCGCTGTAGGTGTACATGACCTGCCGGTCTCCGCCGCGACAGCCGCGGATCGGCTCCGGCGCGGCGCGACAGAACGCCGGCGTGTCGCCCGTGTCCGGAGTCTCTGCGGGACGACCGGCCGTCAGAGGGCACGATTAGTGGTTCAATTATCTTATCAGATTTGTTTCAAACCGGCTGATAAGAAACAAAGATTTGTGGATCTTTTTTTAAGTTTGCATTGCCATGGCTAACAGGTAGGCTGACGTCGATCCATCGAGGTTATTACGATCCCCATCAATGACCCGTTTCCCTTCACTGGTATATCGCACCTGTCGGGTCGCGCGGGTCGCAGGTCAGCTCGCAGCCGGCCCGCGTGTCGAACAGGTTGCGCGTGGTGCGCTCACAGCCTACCGACTGCATGGACAGACAGCGGTCGGCCGAGCGGCTGAAGTAGTACTTGGTCTGGCGCCTGCCCGGCCGGCAGTTGGACAGACGCTCCGGCTCTTCATTGCAGAACTGCGGACGGTCGTCGGTGTCCGGCTCTGTGAGACACACAGCGAAGGTGAGGGGTTGACGGAGAATTGTAGAGTGAGCGGCACTTTTACACGGTTGGCAGTTACAGAAAAATATGCCAATTTTTATCCAAAAGTTCTTAACCCGCGCCCCACTGGGGGGCTATTTATAGCCCCCCCCCTCCCGTTTTTCTGCAATAACTTCCAAACCGCTTGACGTATCGACGCAAAACTTTCAGTACCTTAGGCTGCATCAATTTGACACCTTGTGTCAAAATTTGAACTTCGTACCTACTATAGGTCGGCCGGAAATGACGTCAGAGTGACGTCATGTTCGGCCGATTTCGACGCAAAATATTGAACCACGGCAATCGCTCCCAAGAGCTCAGTTTTTAAGCTAGATCCAATTTCTTTGCATGAGTGGACTCAGAATAGACTGCGCTATCAAACTGCTATCTCGGATTTTCAAAATTTTGAAAATTTTGAAAATTTAATATAATAATATCCAAAATTTATATTTTTACGTTTTTTTTTTAAAAAAAAATTGACTTTTCGAAAAAACCGGAATATATGTGATAGACCGTATTATTATGACTAACTCTAGCAAGTTTTAGCTAAATATCTTCAAAAATGGCCAAGTTTTACGCATTATTGCAAAAAAAATCACAATTAGGTATTAATTTTTCAAATCAATTTTTCAGCACGTATTTGACATCGTACGCCAATATAAATAGCACCATCGTGTTCCTGAGCTCAAATTGCATCCAATAGACACCTTTTTTGTTGAAAAATTTTAACTTCAAAATTTGACCTTTTTTGACCTGAAAGTGACCTAACATAAGCTAAATTCAACTCAAAATGACCTCGAATGACACAGACGACATCAAATTCGAAATCTCTGACCTAAATGGACCATAAAACATGTGTCACGTGACCGACGCATGATATAATATTTTCGTGACCTGTGATGACCTGACCTTGACCTGAAAATCAAAGTACAAGTTTGGTACCCTCAGGGTAACTAGAGCATCTGTTCCCGAGTGTGTGATCCAAAAATGAGCCTGATTTGACTTGTAAGACGGCGGCCAGAGCCCAAAACGTGAACAAGCCAAAATGCTAATAATTTTTACTTTGACCTGACCTGTGACGTCATCGGTGACCTCGAGGTCAATGAAATTAGGTTTCGCTCGACAGTTTTTCCGGGGCTATCAGACGATGTTTGAATTTTGACGATCGGCCCAGTAGTTTCGGAGTTAGGAGGGGGGGCTATGAATAGCCCCCCCCCCCCCCAGTAGGGCGTGTTATACGCAGACCCCAGTGGGGCGCGGGTTAATTGTTGTTTTTATGTTGTTGTTGTTGTTTTATTTTTTACAGTGAACTGCCATTCCTGTGATATTATATCTCTTTTTTGCATTGAAATGTCGTATTGTTAAGCCCCCCAAAATGTTAGCGACAACCCGATGACAGGCCATCGACAGACCGACCTCAACGACAAACGGCCACATCTTCCTTCACTCACCCTCCCCGCTGCCACTGGGCATGCAGTCGGCCATGCAGGCGCGCCGGCTGGTGAACATGTTGCCGCCGCTGTCACAGCCGTCGTACAGGAAGACATCGCACGTGCCGCGCTCCCGGTTAAAGTAGAAGCGCTGTTCGGTGCGTGCACTGGGCCGACAGCCGAGCAGGCGCCGCGGCGGCCGGAGGCAGTACTCTGGGGTGGTGTCGACTGCAGGGGTGGTGCATGGGTCAGTTGGGAAGCTCAGGGCAGGGATCTGGCGCCGCGGCGGCCGGAGGCAGTACTCCGGGGTGGTGTCAACTACAGGGGTGAGTTGGAGGTCAGATGGGGAGCTCAGAGCGTCTGACAGGGTGGACGGAGGCAGTACTCCTGGGTCATGTCGACTGCAGGGGTGGCCTGCAGGGGTCAGATGGGCTCAGAGGTTAGATGGTGGGAGCTCAGAAGAAACCATAGGACTGCTCTAAAACATTGAGCAGTGATGTACTGATTCGGTTTTTAACACGATTGAATGCGAGCAGGGATGCTCTTCAGACAGACAGTATCAAGCTCATTTTGGTGACCCGTTAATAATCAGCTATGGTATGCACAAGCAAACGTGAGCTAGAAACGCACGGCACGCGCGCTTTATTTGACTGACCCCTCCGTCACTCACTGGGCTCGGTGGCGTCGCCGCACATCTGGCGACACTCCTCCTCTGTCTCGAAGTTGTTGCCGTTGCCGTCGCAGCCCGAGTAGAAGAACTGCTGGCAGCGGCCGGCGCTGAACGCCCAGCGCCGCATGCGGGCCTTACAGGCGCTGCCGGGCTGCACCGGGAGACGGCAGACGTCCGTGGCCGGTCCGCCCTCCCCGCTGTCTCCGCCGCCGCCGGAACAGGCTCGCATACAGGCCTGCCAAACGGGTGTCAGGGTGAGAATAGCCCGCCGGTTTGGTCCTTTTGCATTCCAGAAAGCTTTCAGACTCGTGTCAGAATGGATATAGCGATCAGTGCTGTAGTTCTAAACATACTCTCCAGGTAGCTAACTGAGGTTGGGGAGTTGTGGCCAGGATCCCGATTCCAGACGTCTCACCTCTCTGGATGAATACTTGTTGCCGCCGCTGAGGCAGCCCCGGTCGGTCAGTGTGAGGCACGTGTCCCGGTTCGGCACGTAGAAGTATACCGTGCGCCGCTCGCCGGGTACGCAGTCGAAGATGGGCCGCGGCTCGACGGTGCAGCTCGGGTCCTCGGGCCGCGGTGTGGTCGGCTCGGCGCGACAGGCGCGCTCACACTCTGACCGGCTCGAGTACATGTTCTGACCCACCTCGCAGCCGTAAGAGTCAAACGACTCACACCTGTGGGGAACGGAACGACGAGCAGTTGTGAAGAAAAGACGGGGTACCTCTATGTTTCTGATTGAGACTCAGACGTCAACTCATTTGCTGAAATGACACTGGCTGTATGAGTTCTTTGGCCGTTTTGGTCGGAAGGCGATGCAAGCCCAACAAACTCAGATTATGTATCATCAGCGATTTCATCAAGGTCAAGCACACCTGCCGCCCGCTGCCCCACCTGAGCGTCTGCGCGTTGAAGGTCCAGAGGGGCCGGGTTCGCTGGCGCGGCTCGCAGAAGTCGTCCTCAGCGGGCGGCTCGAGGCACGTGTCGGGCACATCGCCGGCGTCCTGCAGCGCCATGCCGCGGCACGAGCTCAGGCAGTCGCGCAGCGTGGCGAAGTTGTTTGCGTTGCCGCCGCAGCCGCCGTACTCGAAGGGCTGGCAGCGGCCGGCGCGCTGGTCGTAGGCCCAGCGCCGCTGGCGGCCGGCGCACTCGCCCCGCTCCGCCGGCAGCTCGCAGACGGCGCGCGCCGCGAACGGCACGGCGCACTCGTCCCGGCAGGCGGCCGCCGACAGGAAGCTGTTGCGCGCGCCGCAGTCGCCCTCGGGCCGCGCCAGGCAGCGCGCCGCGCGCTGGTCGAAGTAGAAGGAGCGCACGGCGCGCTGGTCGCGGCGCGGGCTGTCGCGGCAGGCGCCGGCGCCGGGCGCCAGACAGCGCGCCGGACGGTCGGCGGCCGGCTCGCAGCGCCGGCTGCACTCGGATAGCGTGATGAAGTTGTTGGCGTTGCCGGAGCAGCCGCCGTAGGTGAAGGAGCGGCACTGGCCCCGGGCAGGGTCATAGTAGAAGCGCGGCATGCTGGCGAAACAGGGCCCCACTTCCGGCGGCAGGGAGCACACCTCTGCTGGCAGACAGAGAATAAGATGGGGTCAGGCCTATCTGCGAGGCTGATCATCAAATCAACCAGATCCATTCAAGTGCGTGAATAGACAATAGACTAGACATGTTGAATATTTAAGTATTTCTGTATTTAGAAGAGAAACGGCTTTTTGCTCATGCTTTAATCGACACAAAGATCCGAACTTAAGAAGCGCTGACTTCATCTGACGTTGCGGATGACTTTTTTCTGCTCCGGTGCATTGTCCGGCCGTTCTATCTCCATTCCAACCAAGTAACGACTCTCAGCATCAAACTTCTAGCGAGCCATCCATTACACCCACCCAGCCGCTCCCGACCCGAGCCCCCTGTGCCCCGGACTCGACTGACCGTCGGTGGACGGGTCGGTGGACGTCTTACCGTTTGTGGACGGGTCGGTGGACGTCTTACCGTCGGTGGACGGGTCGGTGGACGTCTCGGGGGTGGTCGGCTCCGTGCCGGGTGACTCGGCCGGACACGACAGCTCGCACTCGGCGCGCGTCTCGAAGTTGTTGTCGTTGCCGCCGCACCCGCTGTAGATGAACTGCTGACAGCGGCCCTCGAACTGGTCAAAGTAGTAGCGGAACACGCTGCCGGCGCAGGGGCCCACCAGCGAGCGCTGCCGGCAGACCTCACCTGCGGAAAGGGGACAGAGGGGTGTCAGGGGACAGCGGAGGGGTGTCAGGGGCCCGCACTCCACCAGTAGGCAGGAGAGAGGCTGTCAGCCTCACTTGCGGGCGGGGTACAGAGGGGTGTCAGTGGTGTTGTCACTGAGCCGGTCATTCCATGTGCATGGAATTGCGCCGTGCCACTGCACCTCTTCAGGCACTCCCTGCTCTCACTCACTGGGCACGGGAGAGGGCGCGGTGGGCGTCGTGCCGCTGCACCGCTCCAGACACTCGCCGAACGAGGCGAAGTTGTTGGCGTTGCCCTCGCAGCCGCCGTAGGTGAACCGCTGACAGCGGCCCGACGACGGATTGTAGAAGTAGCGGTCGATAGCGCCCGAGCACGGGCCGGCGTCCATCGGCATTGTGCACATGTCTGAAAGAACGGGAAAGATCGTCAGCCAAACTGATGCTGAGCTGCCTTTAAAGCTGGCTAATGAAAGCTTAGAAGTGCAGCTTTGTTGAGTCCGCCCCTTCCTTCCTGCTCGCTGCAGGCCGCCCAGTGTCGCTGGTAGCTCACCGCCGTTGCCCTGCTGTTCGGTGACGCCGCGGCAGAGCTCCAGACACTCGCGTCGGCTGGAGAAGTTGTTGTCGTTGCCTCCACAGCCCGTGTACTCAAACTCCGAACAGGTGCCCGTCTCCGGGTTGTAGGTGTAGCGGCGCAGCAGGCCCAGGCAGTTACCGGGCGAGGCGGGGGTCGCCAGACACACCTCTGTTGAGCAGGGGAAGAGTCATAGTCGGTCACAGCAGGCTCAGGCAGTCACCAGGCGAGACTGGGATTGCGACTCGACAGTTGAGGTTCAGACTGCCTTATCATGCGTTTTCCTTTAGACTTTTTACCGACGGGGGCGATGAGAATATCTGCTGATCTGTCAGGCTGAATTCCTGACAGGCTGAATCACTGATAGCATCATAGATAGACCTGTCCTGTCTTCCTGTAATACTAACCTGTCTAGTTCTGTCACTGACCTGTCTGGCCATCCCCCACTAACCTGTCTGGTTGACGGCGCCGGCCGGGCAGCTGCGCTCACACTCGCGCAGCGTGGCGAAGTTGTTGTCGGTGGCGCCGCAGCCTCCGTACAGCAGTCGCACGCACCGGCCATCCGCCACGCTGTAGTAGTAGCGCACAATGCTCTCCGAGCAGGCCCGGCTGTCCGGGTGAACCGGCGGCGCCGAGCAGTCGACGGCCGACTCCGGCTCCGGGCTCTCCGGGCCCACACCGCGGCACGTGCTCATACACTCCCGCATCGTCTGGAAGTTGTTCTGCAGCGGGTGGAGAGCGGCGCTGGTTAACGGAATGTAATGTGCATTTGTGAATCTGACTGCACCCATCTGACTTCGAGTATGTATTTCAAAGTTAAAAAAAAAAGAATGTGCCAGAGCAGAGCTGACATAAGTTCACTTAACAGTTAACATTCATGGATCTTTTGATTGCCGACTAGTGAGGTTGCAATGGTCCCTTGGGCTACTCCTATCACTGACCAAACTCCTTCCAGAATAGGAGTCCGTGCGCAGGCTGTAGACTGCCGCGGCCGGATCAATCTGTGTACATACGTACCGCGTTACCGCGACAGCCGCGGTAGATGAGTCGCCGACACCGGCCCGAGTCCGGTTCGTAGTAGTAGCGGTCGATCTGCGCGTCACATCGGCCCGGGTCCGGCACCAGACGACACACGCGCTCTGCCGACAGACGGGCGCCGTGACGTCAAAATGACGTCATCTCGGTGAGCGCCGCCACGCGAGGTGAAGCGAAGCAAAGCAAAGCCAAGCGGAAGAATTGAGTGGTTAGGCGTTCAAATAAAGGCAGAAATAAACGGTGTGGGTGGTGAAACGTTGAAACTAAAGGTAGATGCTACTACAAGCAGTTAACTTTTTGATATAAAGACGAGATTGATCTGCTTAAACCTTCTTAACAGCACCATGCTTATATCTGAAAATGTACAGGTCTCGCGGGTTTTAGCGGTAGGTTTTGCACCTAGAAAATTTAGTGTACTTCAGGCTGTATCTTCGTCGTCTTAACTCTCGCCCGACGAGGGGGGGGGGCTGATGCAACCCCCCGCGCCGCCGAATTTGGCATACCCTCTGGGGCAATATTTTCGCACCTTTCCTGAAAATTTGAAGTCCCAGTCTTTTCAGGTCAGGTCACCAGGTCACAAATATTGGTACAAGGTCAGGGGAAAATTGGACTAGCTTAGCGACAACTGAATTCCAGAGGTCACTAAAATTGGTAACAAAGTATATCATTCGATGCGCACGGACGTCCTGAGTTCACTGGTGCTTTTATTTTTGCTCTATCTTTACTAGGTAAAAAGTTATAAGCGAAAAACTTTAAACATGTTTTAGCAAAATCTTTGCACTCTTACCCCCCCCCAAAAAAAAACCTAAATATTGACTTAGAGTCACCAAACTTTCACAAGGGCGAGATCTCCTATGGATTCGCCTACCCTGTAAATTTGGCGTTTCTAAGTGCCATAGGAGCCAATCGAGAGGAGGGGTCGTACCAAACCAACCCCCCCCCCCCTCACCGTCCGTGTTATGGAAAAGGCCCTCGCCTGGCGAGGGTTAAGCTTTTATGTGTTGAAGATGCGATCGACTTGTTGGTTCACAAGCCGGCCATAATCGTGTAAAATGGCTTCATCGTAGATTGATTAGTTTCTGAGATATAACCGGAAGTGTAAAAGTACAAAACCATACTGCTTAATCTCGCGATAGCCGTACAATAGCTTTTCTATAAGCAACATGGGCCTGTCAGAAGGCAAAATCGTGGCTAAGTACCGGTAAATAAGCCATGCTTTGTGGGAGTCGCCATTCATTAAAATGCTGAAAGATCGCCCTTCCTGTCCGCGCCGGATAGGCGGATAAGCATCGATAAGCATCACCCACTTCAAGTTGAGACCGTGTAGATCGAAACTTATTGCGACAACTCCGGCTTACCGTGCATGCATACCGCACCTTTGTCCTTTACACATGCATATTGCCAGGCTGTTACATGACGAGTGAACGGATTTCTCCTCCATTTCACCGCATGCATTAGTGAACATCACGGCTTCCGTCGATGACATTCCTGTCCCACTGTGAATTCCATGAGACAATCAGTCCATGCAAGCTGAAGAAAGCGTGCAAATGTTGTCGACATCTGGAAAGAAGTACACCTCAGCCGATTAAAACAGATGTATCATTCACAGCAGGCTCTTCTTCCTCCAGCTCACACCCTGTGACCGTCAGGAGACGGGTCTCCTGACGGCTGAGTCGCAATGTGCGGTGCAAAAGCCAGCAGTGTGGCGGTGCTTACCCGCGCTGAACAGCTGCAGACCAAAATTCATCAGCAACGCACCTGCCGGCTGCTGGGCCGGGCCGCTCAGGCAGGCGCTCTCGCACTCAAACACGGTCCGGTAGTTGTTGGCCGTGGCGCCGCAGCCGTCGAAGATGAGCCGCTCGCAGCGGCCCGTCGCCTCCGAGTACGAGTAGCGCTGCAGCTTGGCGCCGCAGAAGCGTGAGCCCTCCTCCTTGGGCGGGCCCGAGCACGGGTCGGCGCGTGGCTCCGGACGCCGCCGGCCGCACGACTCCGCGCACGCGCGCCGGCTGACGAAGTTGTTGGTGTTGCCCTCGCAGCCGCCGTAGAGAAACTTGCGGCAGCGTCCGACGATGGGGTCGTAGTGCCATCGCACCAGCTCGGCCTTACACGGGCCGGCCATGGGCGGCAGGCTGCAGACGTCTGTCTGAGGGGAGGCGCCCTCCATGCGGCGGCCGCGCACCTCCAGGCCGCTGAGCACGTCTGCCTCCTGCTCGGGGACGTCCTCGGGAGGCGGGCGGCACGCCGACACGCAGGCCGACAGCGTGACAAAGTTGTTCTCCGAGCCGTCACAGCCCGAGAAACGGAACGCCCTGCAGCGCGCCGTGGGCTCGTCGTAGTAGAAGCGGAGGACGCTGGAGCTGCACGTGCCGACGAGCTTGGGCGCCCGGCAGGTGGCCGGCAGCGGCGCCAGCGAGGCGTTGCTGCTGCAGGTGCCGTGGCAGTCGGCCAGGCTGAGGAAGTTGTTGAGGTTGCCGCCGCAGCCGCCGTACAGGAAGCGGCGGCACGCGCCCCGCTCGGCGTCGTAGTAGAGTCGCGGGCTGTCGGCGCCGCAGGAGCCCGGGTCGGCCGGCAGCAGGCACGGGTCGTGGTCCTCGTCCTCAGGCATCGACTCCCGCACCCGCTCAGCCATCGCTGTCGGCAGAGGACCGTCAGCGTCAGCGGCCACCCTCGGACCTCCCAGTGGGCGAACTCGGGCTAACCCGGCATCGTCTCCCGCACCCGCTCAGCTATTGCTGTTCGCAGAGGATCGTCAGCGTCAGCGGACACCCGCACTCTCAGCGGACCAACTGTTACGTTCTGGGCGTTCATTAATTTTGCTTTATAACGAAAACTTTTTTCAAGCGCAGCATTGTCTATTCACTAAACAATAAACATTGCCTAAATTTATATGATAATACAGCTGAATCAATGCCTTCTTATCATTTAGTTTGATCTAATGACTGCGGTCGTTTACCTCTCCTGACCATTCGTCACGTAAGATGCATTCCTGACTATCCCTGGGAAACAAAAGCTCCTCACGCAGCCACTTTACCATGGTGGAGACCGCTGCGCTCGGGCAGCTGCTGCGGCGGGTGGACGGGGAACAGCGGCCGGACGCCCTCGCACTGGATCTGACAGGCCAGTTGGGAGGTGAACACGTTTCCGTCTGGCTGGCAGCCGGTCCACTCGAACGGCCGGCACCTGCCGCGCGTGGGCGCGTCACCCACCGAGGTCACATGGGAGGTCATCGAGGGGTCACAGCAGGTCACAGGAAGACAACGAAATGTCATGGAAGGTCACTGAGGGTGACAGAAGACTACTAAGTCACATGGGGTCTAAAGGGTCACGAGAGGTTACATAGGGCCTCACGTAGGGAGGGGTTCCCAGAAGTCACAGAGATCACAGTGCTCAGGAGGCCATCACGGTCACGGAAGGTCACCAGTGGGTCACTAGATAACACCAAGCGTTCATTAGAGGTCACAGTAGTCACGGGAGACGACGGGAGACTGCGCATTCCGAACTCGCTCGACGCTCGGTGTGTTTGCCGACTCACGGCAGTTACGCCGTACCGTGACGTGCTGGCGGAGTTGATGTCGGCTGAGGTCACCGTGCATCCCCAGCAGTGTGCAGCGCGCCACCCCGCCCCGGTCCGGGAGTCCCGACCACCCCGTGACGGTCCCACCGTCACGTGACGGCCGGCGTCACACTCGTCACGGCTGCGCATCGTTCGCCTCGGCCGCGCCGTCATTGTCTCGCCCAAGGCCGCCACTGGGGCGTACTGCCGTGACGGTGCAGTGGTGGCAATTGGTCGGGTCATTGCGTGTGATGTGGTGGGTGAGGTCAGGTTACTGCCTATGGGGTGGTCAGGTCAATGAGTATGACGTACTTGAGGTTAGGTCACCCCGTATATTGGTTTGAGGTCACTGGTTGCAGGTCACGGAGTCTGGGGTGGGTGAGGTCACTGGTCAGGTCACGGAGTCTGGGGTGGGCGAGGTCACTGGTCAGGTCGCGGAGTCTGGGGTGGTTGGTGAGGTCACTGCGTCTGTTTTAGTGAGGAAGGTCAGGTCACTGATCGGTCTGTGGACTGGGGTACTGACGTGTGCTCTCAGCCCAGGTCAGTGTTCTCTCGGCCCAGGTCAGGGCGCTCTCAGGCCGTACCCCGCCCCGGGTACTCACAGGCCGCTGCTCCGGTCGAAGGCGTACCGCGGCTGGCCGTCGGTCTCTGCTCCGGCCGCACAGGGGCCATCCGGGCGCGGCAGCAGACAGCGCGCGGCTCTCTCCGAGCTGCCGCCTGCAGCGGGAGCAGGGAGGTCAGGTCAGGTCACTGAGGGTCGTGTGCCGGGATCTGCAGTGTGTTGATAGTATGATCGTATATCATTATTTGATAATAGATCGAATATTGCAACAGTACGCGAGTAATGTAGCCGGCGTGGCAGCTCGCTTATGAAAATTTTGCCAATCACCTCAATTCTCATGAACGCAAACCACGCAGTTGATAGTTGTGCGTTGTTTAAACTGCGAACAATGCTCTATCCCGCGGTCAGTCCGTTATGATAGTTCCGCCAGCCTGCTGCTCAGTTTAATTTTGGTCCGGGTTGGACCGAGGTCGCACTGGTGGCCGCCCCCCCCCCCCCCCCGGATTCGGCGACTGTTTGTCATCTAACTGACGTCAACTCAAATGGCCGCCAATTTAGGCACCTATCGCTGGTGATTTATGTGTTGTGGACTGGCGGGCTGGCGGCGGTGGCGGAATAGCCAGGCTGTTACTCACAGTTGTGACAGGTGCACGGATCCATATTCAGACATATAAGGCGGATATCGGGGAGCGCGCGTGATCCCTCTTAGTGGCAATATGCGAGCCGCCGGTAGGGGGGGGGGGGAGGACTCTCCCGGCCAAATCAGTTCGGACCTCGAGAGTCGAGACCACTGTGAGTCCGCTGAAGTCGGTGTCAGCAGTAGGAGCACTATCCCGTAAGGGTGTACAATGTACATACTTGTTTTCACAATTGATCGAGGTTTTATCGCACTGACGTGGAAGCCTCTGACACCGTTTTGAGACCTCTTTGACGTTAGTGGTCTTTTATCAGTTCGAGCCTCTCGCTGGGCAAGCTAGTAAAGAGTCACCTCAAATAGGCATGGGCTCTATCCGATAAAGATAGACCCTCAACGCAGGTCGAGACCCCCTCAGGCACATAAATGGGACCCATTGAAACCGCCCTGGATTTTCCTTGACCATGGTTTGGTGTGGGACTGTATACCCAGCGTTCGGTCCTTTAGTGCGAGATTTTCATACTCGCTATGGGTTCATTTCACGATAGATTTATAGGTCATACGTCTCCTGCACAGAGGTTCTCTGAGCTCGCCTCTGCTGCGGGCGGGGTCGGTGACGGAGTGGGGTCGGTTACGGCCCTGACTGCAGTAGCGTGACATGCACGTACAATGTTGATGGACGGTGTGCATCCCTACACCTGCTGGAAACTAAACAGTCCCACCCTGCGTGTCCGGGTTCCACCTGCTGCGCGGCCAAATCACGGCACGACACGAAAAGCACGAGCGAACCGCGTACGAATCGCACCTACCCGAGGCATGCCTTGTTATTAAACGCGTTTGATGCACCTGTTCCATATTCTATCAACAGGTAGCACATCTTTGCGTGCCGGTAACTCGTACACTGCTCAGCTTACGCTATGTGAGTTTAGGGGTTGGAGTGATCGTTATGCCGTATATGCGCTTCACAGTGAGTACATAGACGGGCGCGCTTACTCAGTGTGACGTTCAGCATGGGCAGGATCTCGCCGATGCGGTACTCGCAGACGCTCCTGCACTCGGACCGCGTTCCGAAGTTGTTCGAGTTGCCCAGACATCCTGAAAATGATTACGGGTACATACGGGATATTATCGGCATCATTTGTTAGTGTGCATTTCGCTTATTACAAAAGGATAAATGGTGAGTGACAAAGTAGTTTAATAACGATGTTTTGGTCCTGAAACGGGAAAATAAACGATAATTCAATGTCTTTCATAATTATTAATTAAATAACCAGCGTTTCACGGATATTTTACATTGAAGTCGCTCGCAGAAGATACACAGAATCTGATCGGCTCACCTCCGTAGGAGAAGTCTCGGCACTCGCCGACCTTTAGGTCAAAGTGCCAGCGGCGACTGCGGTCCCTGCAGGGCCCCTGTTCGGGCGGCAGCACGCAGGACCAGGCCGACTGGACGTCTGGGGGAGGACGGGCACCGGCGGCGCGTCACCAGCAGCGACGACTGAAACGGCATTCAGGCTAGCTAGCCGTTCTCTGATTAGATTCGTTGGGTTGGAATTGGAAATGCATTTTACGAATAACTACTGGTGAATCAATGATACATAATTGAGGTCTCGAATGGCTTTGTCAAGTATCGCTGACGGGTAAGCGGAAGGCTACTGCCCGGGTCAGGTCACTGTAAGGGATCAATGCGAGGCTACTGACCGGGGTCAGGTCACTGTACTGGGTCGATGCGCGACTACTGTTGTGTTAAAGTGTATGGCCGCCGCGCGGGCAGTGTACGGCGCAGCCGCGTAGTTGTGACGTCACACGACGTCACGGACCGAGCGCGAGTAGCCGGCAGAATTCTAGAACTTGCGCGGCGCGAGACGGAGACAGCCTTGTATATATATATATATATATATATATATATATATATATATATATATATATATATATATATATATATATATATATATATATATTAGTATATATATATATATATATATATATATATATATATATATATATATATATATATATGTGTGTGTAAATGTATAGGGCTGTAGAATACAGTTGGCTCAGATAACTCGGTGTGTGCAGGTCAGAGAGAGAACCAGCGGTCGGCCCGGAACGACCAGACAGAACATGGCGCGGTCGGTTCGGCTCTCTATCTGCATTATCTCTACCTGAGTTTTACACTGCATCAGCAAGAGTTCGAAATGGAGGGAGACGCTACCGGACAGCCAGACACCGCGGAATCGAAGCCCACGGACATTCAGCTGCTGGTGACGGCGATCTCCCAGCAGCTGGAGGCATCTCAGCGCCGTGAGGATCGCGTTGTGGCTCTACTGGAGCAACTGTGCGTTACGAGCAGTCAGAGCGGGCGACACCATCGCACCGATGATCAAAATGACGGCACAGCAGCTCATTCAGCTGTTTCCGGCCGTTCATCGGATGCTGAACCCAGTGACACGGACCATCCCCGCACGAGTGTCGTGGCCGGCGGCGGCGTGCCGCCGCCCTGCCCCGTCCGCGCAGCGACCGGTGCCACGCCGGGGCGCGGTGACCTTGACCGCGACCTTGCCGCGCCAGCCGGCGCACGGGGGCCCGCGGGCGCCGAGGGGTCGGCCGGTGACCCCGAGAGGTCACGCGCCGGGCCGCGCCTGCCGGCCGCGGGGACGCCCGCCCCGCAGCTCAGCTCATCAGCGTCGCTGAGGGAATTTGAGGTCTGGCGTTCGAAGTTTGAAGGTTACAGTCTTCTGGTTGGACTGGACAGCATGCCACTACCTCAGCAGCGTGCAGCACTGTTTGCTCTGCTGGATGACGACTGGTCTCGGATCGTCCGGTTCAGCATACCTCTTCACGAAGACGCTTCAATTCAAGACATCATCACTGCGATGCAGCATTTTCTACGCCGACAGCGGAATGTCATTCTGGACCGGCGAGACTTTGACTCCAGAGTTAAGCAGCCGGGAGAATTGTTCGACGATTTCTTCTGCTCACTGAAAGAAATCGCCGCGTTCTGCGATTTCTGCGCAGCCTGCGTCGACGAACGTCTGCGAGATAGAGTCGTCGTGGGAGTCCGCAGCGAAGAAGCTCGACGGCGCCTGCTCGAAACGGCTGATCTCACACTACAGTCAGCCGCCGACATCTGCCGAGCTGCAGAGAATGCAGCCAACAGCAGATCAGCCATCGCTGGCCCACCCTCCTGTCTCCAAAAGATGTCTGAGTATCGGAGACGGCGTCAGGGCGGCCGTGGCGGGCGAGCGAGCTCAGTGACCCGACCTCAGGGTGCAGCCGCCCCCACCAACCGCACCGGCAGCCGAGATCGGTGCTCGCGCTGTGGTGCCGCCGCCCATCGAGAGGGCCAGCAGTGCCCCGCCTCTGGACGCACCTGTTTCAAGTGTGGAAATAAGGACCACTTCTCATCGATGTGCCGCAGCCGAGGAGGGTCACAATCAAGACGGCGAGTTTCATCTATCCGTCTCCGCAAGTCGAACTCTATGCCGGCCAACAGGTCCCAGCGCCTGCCAGACATCCACGTTCGAGGCGTAGCAGCTCGTTCCTCGCCCAGAGTCCTGCTACAACTGCATCGACAAGATGGCAGCGTAGAAGACACGACGTGGACGCCAGACACTGGAGCCGAGACGTCAGCAATATCTGCCAGATTTGCCAGGAAGATGGGACTCCAGCCGTTGCAGCCTGCAGCCAGCAGACTCATTGGAGCAGACGGCAAGGAGATGGACTGCATGGGCACCTGTAGCGTCAAGCTTCAGCTCGGAGAAGTGACCCGTGCGGTCGAAGTTGCGGTCGTGAGGCAGCTGAATGGCCCACTTCTGTCATGGCACGATTGCATCTGCCTGGGGATTCTGCCCAGCACGTTCCCGCAGCAGATTTGCGCGGTGGAACGCCAGCCAGCTACGAGGTCAACCACGTCAGGGCGCTCCAAGGATCGAGAGGAAACAAAAGGAGATGAAGCCGCCCAGGAAGACGGCAACCCACCAGGGCCGTCGGCGGCTGAGTCCAGGCAGCCACCCGTCTGGATGCCACGCAGCCCGGCGGCCACAGGCCATGGCGTGCCGACTGCTGCTGAGCGGCGCGAACATCTGGAGGAAACGAAGAAGGCTTTCCCCAAAGTCTTCGACTCTTCTACTCTTCGAGAGATGTCGGGCGGTGAAATGAAGATCGAGCTCACAGAAGATGCCGTTCCGTTTGCCATCTCTGCGGCTCGGAACATCCCGTTCTGCTGGCGTGAGGAAGTCAAGAAGCAGCTCGATGACCTCCAAGAGAAGGGCATCATAGAACCGGTCTACCATCCGACTGAATGGTGTCATCCACTGGTTCCAGTCCCCAAGAGGTCGGCGGACGGATCAGTCTCTGGATGCAGACTCACAGTGGACTTCACCAAGCTGAACAAGTTTGTGAAGAGGCCGACACATCCTGTTCGAGGGACCCACGACGCCGTTGCATCAATCGAACTCGGCGCTCGCTTCTTCACGAAGATAGACAGCAAAGCCGGCTATCACCAAGTCCCGATAAGACGAGAAGACCAGGACCTGACGACGTTCATGACGCCCTGGGGGCGTTTCCGCTACCGACGCGCCGTGATGGGCCTCATCTCCAGCGGCGACGTCTACAACCAGCGTGGAGATCAAGTCCTGGGTGACATCCCACGAACATGCAAGGTGGTGGACGACGTCCTGGCCTGGGACAACGACTACAACGAGCACATCAAGCACGTCTGGAAGATCCTGCAGCGATGCAACGACAACGACATCTCGTTGAACGGCGACAAGTTCGTCTTCGGCGCCGATCACGTCGAGTTCTGCGGATATGAGATCAGTGCGGACGGCTACAAACCAGACCAGAAAAAGACGAGGGCGATCGCAGAGTTCCCACAGCCGGAGTGCATCACGGACCTTCGGTCGTTCCTGGGTCTCGTACATCAGCTCGGCGCGTTTTCGCCGGAGATCTCTGCAGCTGCTGAGCCTCTTCGACAGCTTCTTCGTCCGAAGAATGCATGGGTCTGGTCTGAAGAGCACACCGCCGCCTTCAACAACGTGAAGAAGCGCCTGGTGTCACCGCCAGTGTTGGGATTCTTTGATCCCACACGACGAACCGTGCTGGAGACCGACGCCGCCAGACTGAAGGGCCTCGGTTTCTGCCTTCGTCAGCAGGATGATCAGGGCCACTGGAAGCTCATTCAGTGCGGCTCCCGCTTCCTGAGTGAGACGGAGTCTCGCTACGCTACGATTGAAGTGGAGCTGCTGGCGCTGACATGGGCGGCGAAGAAGTGTTCCACCTACCTCAAGGGGATGCAGAGCTTCGAGGTGCTGACGGACCACCGTCCTTTGGTCCCCATCCTCAACAAGAAGTCTCTGCAAGACATCGAGAACCCCCGTCTGCAGCGACTCCGAGAACTGCTGACGCCGTACAACTTCACCGCCACCTGGCGCAAGGGAGCACAGCACCACGTCCCAGATGCCCTCTCCAGGCATCCTGTGGATCCACCCAGCTCATCTGATGAAGACGTGACGCTGCAAATTGGAAGTCTGGTCACACGGATTGTGGCTGAAGCTGAGGGCGAAGACGGAGGAAGACCCTCACCGTTTGAAGACGTCACACTGACAGCGATACGGGCAGCATCTGAACGCGATCCTGAGCTTCAAGCCCTGAAGGACGTTATCATGAATGGGTTTCCAGACCAGAAGGCTGACACCGACGCTCAGGTCCGCCCGTACTGGTGTGTCAGAGACCAGCTATCTGTTGATGACGGTCTCGTCATCTGTGGTCATCGACTCGTCATCCCAAGATCGCTCCGCAAGAACGTGCTGCAGAGCCTGCATGCGTCACACCAGGGCGAGGTCCGCACGAAGACGAGAGCAAGGCAGACAGTGTACTGGCCTGGTATCAACCAGGACGTCACCAACGTCATCAAGACCTGTGCAGCGTGTCGCACACACCAGACGGCACAGCAGAAAGAGCCTATCCTGCAGGAACAGACACCATCTCGTGTGTTCGAGGCAGCATCCGCCGATTTCTTCCAGTACGCCGGGCGTACCTACCTGGTCTACGTGGATCGTCTCTCTGGATGGCCGTGTGTGAGTGACATGTCACACCAAGCCACTGCCAAGAATCTCATCACAGCTCTACGCGAGATGTTCAGCTACACCGGCGTTCCAGTCGTCCTCCGAACTGATGGTGGACCACAGTTCACTGCCGGTCTCACCAGACGCTTCCTGGAGAAGTGGGGTGTAAAGCACCATATCATTCTCGTCACCCCACTACCCGCAAGCGAACGGTCACGCTGAGGCAGCGGTGAAAGCTGTGAAACGCCTGATCAAGAAGACCACAGCAGACGGACGCCTGGACTGCGATTTGTTCGCAGAAGGCCTGCTCGAGCTTCGGAACGCGCCTCGTTCCGACGGCCGTTCAGCTTCTCAAGTTCTCTTCGGGCACCCGCTCCGTTCTACGGTTCCTGCCCACCACCGCGCGTTCGACCGGCGCTGGCAGCTGCTCGCCGATGAGTGCGACGCGCGTGCAACAGAAGAGAAGCTGAAAACGGCAGAGAGGTACGACTCTACCGCTAGGTCTCTGCCCAGCCTCCGGATGGGTCAGCAAGTCCTGATACGAGACGCCCACACTGGACTCTGGGACCGGACTGGCGTCATCTGCGGAGTCGGCAGCTTCAGGAGCTTCCTCGTTCGGCTCCCGAGCGGACGGCTGTACTGGAGAAACCGCCGTTTTCTCCGTCCTATCCGGCCTCTCATCACTGAACAGCGGACGACGTCACACACGCCGTTGCCAGAGTCTCCAGTACAACAGCAGCGACAGCAGCCGCAGTCGCAACAGGAACGACGACAGCCACCACAGCCGCCGAACCGGCAGCGGTCGTCGCCACAGCCAGGGCAACAGCACCATCCTCAAGAGCCGCGGTCACCACCTCTTCAGGAGCGGCCTCGACGGCAGCCTCATCAGCGGCAGTCTGCTGGCTCACCCCGACAGCGACAGGAGGATCTGTCCCAGCCGACGTCAGCTGAGGGTCGCCCTATCGCCGAGACCAGCCCCGTGACCTCCATGGCCTCCCGTCGGAGCACCCGCGTGCGTTACAGGCCCCAACGTTTGCAAGTACGGTGGGGCACGTGCTCATACTCGTGAGGGGAGGGGAGGTTTCGTGTTTGAGTGATGTGTGTATTGGTGACTGTTCTGAGAAGGTTGTTTTGTTCTTGAGAGGGGAGGTGTTGTGTTAATGTAGAGGTTTGTAGCGGCCGGCAGCTGCTGCCACCTAGCGGCACGGCCCGGAAGTTGTCGGCGCGCGCCGGCGCGGCAGGCGCGGCAGGCAGTCGGCTGGCGGGCCGCGAGCCGAGAGGACGGGGACTGCGGGGCTGCCGATGTGTGTGTACAGTAGGTCTACTAAAAAAGTCCCCCGCTCCAGAGGCGGCCGGCCGGCCGAACCCCCGGATTCCAGCCCCGACTCTACTGCGCAGGTTACGCGACACGGGTCAGGTCGCGGCGCCCGGCGAGTGGGTCAGTTGGCGGCGGCCGGCCGTGGAGTGAGGACGCCGTGTGTGGGGCGCAGAGATGCCGCAGTGCAGAGGAGGGGAAGATAGTGACTCTGCACGATGCCGGAAATGATGCCTTTGTGATCTAAATTAAACACATGTAGACGCAGTGCATATCCTCCCTTGCCCCATTCCTATTTTATCATAATCCTTCAATAATCAATCCGTGATGACCATTTAATGCAAGCAAGCAAACAAAACAACCCGTTTAGCGGCGACATCATCTCGGATAAAAAGCGACAGTGATGATTGGAATAGACTAAGCGCGAGGGCAAATCGAGGGGTATATATGTATCACACTATCACATACCGAGCATTTTATTCCCATCTAGCAAATCAATATTGGAGATCTTGTCCAACAAGTCAGCGGCCGTTCTAGACACAGATGAATACTTTGTTTGCGGTCGCATCATTATCTGCAATAATTCAAAGCGAGGTTTAACCCTCGCCGGCCGAGAAGAAGGGATGGATACCGCCACCATGTTTTTTTGCGGTAGCTCAAAGCACACTGATGGTAGAAGGGTGACATTTCATATGCCTTACATTTGATTCAAGCCGGATCATTTGACATCAACCACGTTTTCAAGTCACGTCACTTAGCTATGACGTCTTAACCCGCGCCGGGTCGGGGGGGGGGGGGTGTTTGAACCCCCCCCCTGCAGTTTCCGCGCCGCCGTTTTTGGCACACCTGTTCGGGCATCTTTTCCACACATGTGCAAATATTAGACCCAGGTCGCCTTAGGTCAGGTCACCAGGTCACGCCAAGTGACCTCACCTCAGAAAAAATAAGAATGCTCGTCGTAGCTACACCGACTGAACGATTGCCTTGAAACTCTCAGCGATTGATGAGAGCAACGTTATCTATAAAATGTATGTCTCGGAATTTTGATATTGGTGACCTAGGGTCAGGTCAATTTTGACCTTTCAAGGTCAAATTATAGTTCATTCGACGCGTCTCGACGAGAGGAACACAATGCTGGCAAAAGTAGTGTGATCGCTCTTTTGAGTCAAAAGTTATTGCCGAAAAAACACTTCGTAAAAACGGCTATTTGGGAGTTTTTGACCTCTGAAGGCTAAGCCGTTGACCTGAGGTCAAATCTGAGACATTATTCAGAAAGGTCTGTAAAAGGGCTATCGAATGCGTTTTTCCGCGGCGCTGTAGCTCTATCGGTTCCCGAGATAGCTGTCGGCAGTTTCCAAAATGTTTAGTCAACATTTTACCTTTGGTGTCCTCTGGTGACCTGAATTTTGACCTGACCCAAAAAATGACTGAAATGTTTTCGTCCTTATTTTGGACGTTCTTTCGATTGCGCTTACCACGTGTCGCTATGTGGCCCAGGAGCCGAGTTAGAAGGGGGGGGGGGGGTGTTCAGACATCCCCCGGCCCGGCGCGGAATCTCAGAGCACCTGCCCGGCGCAGGTTAAGTAAACCTCTGCACGGTTGTCGGTTATAAAATGGTGCAAATCCGCAATGCACTTAGTGTCATATGAGCATAATGGGGAAATATGGAAACTGTTAATTTGGCGTCGGAAATTATTTAAAACTATACCTCAAGCACATGAAACGGTGACTTCATTCATTCTTGGCAAGGTCTAATGCTTCACTTTTGCATTGTTCACCTTGCGTGACGTCATTTATGACGTCACTGGGGTCATAGGAGTGCTTCGTCAATAACTCCCGATCAAAATGAGCTAGCCAGTCGGGACAGCCATCAATGGACTTTGCAAGACTTGCCAAATCAAATGTTATGCAACATGTCCTCCTTTCAACAGCTTCGTGACCTGTGTTGCCCTAACATGACATTGACCTGAGGTAAACATCCTAAATTGTTTCACCTAAACAAAAAAGCATATAAATCGACGCGTCTGAGAACAGAAAACACGATTGTATCGAAATGACGATAATTAGACCATTTTTGCGAAGTTATTTACCAAAAACCGATCTAATGCCTTGGGGCCCTTGACCTGCCCTAAGAGGTCACTGATATTTTAAAATGTGGTACCAGTCGCTGCGTCACGTAACGACGCAATTGCTCGTTTTTTTCGCGAGGATCTAGCAGCTAGCTCAATTATAGGAGCTAAACATGGGGTTGGGGAATCGCTACCTTCTCATTCACTATTAACCCGCGCACCGACGGGGGGGGCGGATATCCGCCCCCCTGAGGTTTTTCGCGGATAGCGGGAAAACCGCGGCGCGTAGCGCCGCGAAATTTGGTATGACTATTCTCTCATCAATTTTACACATGGTGTGCAAGTTTGAACCTCCTAACTTTTAAGGTCAGGTCACCAGGTCACTTTGAATGACCCAACCTCAAGTCACTTTTTTGCAACTTTGTCACCGTGCCAGAGCTACAGTAGATGTCGGAGGCCTTTGAAAGTCGCAGGATGTTATTAGGTCATTAGTAGCTACAATTTGTATATCTCGGAATTTTGATGTCGGTGACCTAAGGTCAGGTCAATTTCGCGACCTCCCCATTATAAGTCAATGGGGGAAAAATCAACTCCCTGTTTTTACCACTAAAACGGGTCGGAATGGCCCCATATACCATACATGACTTCACATACGATCAAACTTCACTACCTTGAGGTCTGTTTTGCTGTTGGGCAGCTGTAAGGTCATGTGACGTCATCAAAGGTCACCAAAGGTTTTTTGCCAATAACTCCTTACAGGAACAAGATACAGCCGCGCGGATGGTCTCATTGTGTTCAGCTCGTCAAGACGCATCGAATGATATACATGATGACCTCGAGGTCACGTGACCTGAGGTCAACCTTTGACCTTGACCTTTCGAGGTCAACATATATATCATTCGATGCGGATTGACGAGAGGATCACGATGATGCCCTTAGTTTGTTCCTATCTTGACTACTTCGAAAGTTATTCGAGAAAAATCCTCTCCATATCTAGCGCCGCCATTTTGACTTTTTCGACCCCTGTGACGTCATCTTTGACCTGACCTGAAAATGACCTTAGTAAAAATTGTAGACCTTGTCCGTGCGTATCCGATGCCGTTTACCGCTTGTCGCTATCTTGCTTCGTTCTCGAGATCTCAGGGGGGGGCGGTCATCCGCCCCCCCCCCCCGTCGGTACTAAGTTGGCGCAGACCCCCGTCGGTGCGCGGGTTAAGCCGGGATAGTGCTTGCAATTTTTGTTAAAATCTAGCATTTTAAGATTTCAAATGACCCATTTTTCCCGCCCAATTCTTTCAATTCAAGGTCATAACACCAGGTCACGTCAAGCGACCTTACCTCAAGGAAAGTTCCTGCTGCTCATTATGTCTAAATACACCGACTAACCGATCGCTTTAGAACTTTCAGCGATTTCAATGGGCAACAGTATATGTATTTGAAACGTTAACTTTGCAAGTTTGACATTGTTGACAGAAAGGCCAGGTCAATTTTGAGATCGCTCAAGTCAATGGGAAAAAATTGAACTGCGCTTTTTTGGACGGAACGCATAATAAACACTCTGAAAACATGTGGTGCTTGATGAGATACAATACTGAATGAGAAAATTGTTTGTTTTGTTGGGAGCCATCTTTTTCGGTCTGAAAAGGCCCTTGCAGAGCTATGACATTGCTCTGGTGTAGTAATTGGGTTGTGCGAGCCAGCGCCAGTGATCTGCGAAAGCGAGACTGTTCCCGTGGGACGATTGCCCTGTCGGGACGGTCCAGCCGTCTCCCAAATGGTCACCCGAAGAGGATTATGTGTCCTGGACTGGAATGGATCCGACATCAACTACAGGTTGGCTGGTGGGGTGACCTCCAGTCCAGAGAGGGAAGCATGAAGACTAGGGGCGATGCGGATTGGTTTTTTCCTGAGGATAGCGAGGACGGAAGAGTCCCTTCCTTATGTATCTCAGGCTGTTAAATCTCCTAAGCGTTTTTTTTCTCGACATCGTCAAGGTGTCATTAATAGAAACATGAAATCCGGGAGGATAAATTAGATATAGAAATTGTGGCCAACAGAACATTATCAGTTGCGTTCAACACATTCGTAAGCCTGATCACACACCCAGCTTACATATGAGCCATGTAATGATTATTTTTTTATAGACATGCTAAGTTATGAAATCATCTGAAGTGTTTGTTAAGTTCCACGATACGGATCTAATATCCTGGTATGCATCATGACCATTTATGGCCAGGTCATGTCTTTGAACATAGGCCAAATTTTTCAAATGACCTTTAAAGATAAACTTTTGATTCATTCGAAGCGTTTTGATAAGAGGAACACGAGGCTGGTAAAATTAATTTCATGCAAGTTTTAAGCTAAAAACTTTTAAGTGTTTGTGAAAAAGCAATTGGTTTTCTTGTCATACCAATGGTGGCAGTTGCTGTTATTTACGTGCTAAGCCGTTGACCTTAATTAAATCTGACAATATTATTCCGACATAGCAGTAAACGAGCTGATTGTTGTGTTAGGTTAGGCTTTTTCAGTCGATTTCAGAGTGGGAAGGATTACAGGAATTAAGGGGAGACAGGGGGCCTGGGCGGGAGTCCTGGACCTCATGCTCCGCTGGGGCCGAGCCCATCACGTGGGTTGGATTGCCCTGACGCATGGATAGCCCTGGGCGGTGTTTCATGGCCCCGCGCTGCAGCACGCTGCGCTGCGCTGCTGCATTGTTGCGGCGGTTGTTATGAATTCGGCTCCACGCTAGCGTTGCGAGCTTCCGAG